TCCAGGTGCATACATGCTTGTTATAACCCACTTTTCACATCCAATCTTTATTTTACTCCACATAATCCTTGAATTAATACATTTATAGTCCCTCTTTTCCTGCCATAGCTTATCCTTCAACATTATTGCTACTCCTCCTTTAGCTCTAACTCTATTTGAAACCCCTGACCTAATCCCATTTATTCATCTCCATTGAAACTCTCCCAACCCCTTCAGCTTTGTTTCACTTAAAGCCAGGACATCCAGCTTCTTCTCATTCATAACATCCACAATCATCTCTTTCTTATCATTTGCACAACATCCACGCACATTCAGACTTCCCACTTTGACAATTTTCTTCTTCTTATTCTTTTTAGTAATCTTTATAGGAAAAGGGGTTACTAGCCCATTGTTCCCAGCATTTTAGTTGACTTTTACAACACGCATGGCTTACGGAGGAAAGATTCTTATTCCACTTCCCCATGGATATAAAAGGAAAAGTAATAAGACCAAGAACTATTAAGATAAAATCAAAGAAAACTCAGATGAGTGTGTATAAATAAATTTGTACATGTATGTGTAGTGTGACCTAAGTGTAAGTAGAAGTAGCAAGACATACCTGTAATCTTGCATATTTATGAGACAGAGAAAAGACATCAGCAATCCTACCATCATGTAAAACAATTACAGGCTTTCGTTTTACACTCACTTGGCAGGACGGTAGTACTTCCCTGGGTGGTTGCTGTCTACCAACCTACTACCACCACTCAAACCCGACTATGTTCAGTGGCACTGTTAACGACGAGCTACTAAAAATATCTATGTGGGTGACAACCAACGAACTCTCAATATATGTGTACCTGTAAATAAGTATACTTACACAGTGCTGGCATGCAGGTACACATTAAAATAACTAAGAGTGTCCTTGTAGTCTTAATGCCATAGTAATAATACTAATACACAATAATAATCACTCTTGGGCACATTAAATGTCTTATTTTACATTAATATAGACATTTTCATTAATCCATCTATGATATTTTCTTCAGAATTATATAAGAAACACGTTACATAGCATATAAACATGCTATGTTTATATGGTATGGAGGTGTGGTTGCCGGGCGGAGGGAAAACATTGTTTCCTCTGGTCCAGCATGAGAGAAAACGTGTATGAATCTGCGTTTGGTCTAGTCACTCCCCATAACACACAATGCTTTTGTTTGCAATTCTCGGCATGAATTATTTATTACTTTGCCTTCGTTTAGGTTGGCATCTAAAAGCAGTTGTTAGAAACGATTAAACTCAGGGAAACAAGGTACAGTGGACCCCCGCTTTACGATCACCTCCCAATGCGACCAATGTAAGTGTATTTATGTAAGTGCATTTGCACGTGTATGTTTGGGGGTCTGAAATGGACTGATCTAATTCACAATATTCCTTATGGGAACAAATTCGGTCAGTACTGGCATCTAAACATACTTTTGGAATGAAAAAATATCGTAAACCGGGGGTCCACTGTTGTCTATGGTAATAATATGGCTCTGGGCTGCATTACATATTGTATAGCTATGTAGGTAGGTGCAGCTATGTAGCCAGGCAGACTACATAACTACATCTACCAGCTACCTACACCTGACTTCCTACAAATAAGTACTACTCGCCTCTCACCCTACATTAACCCTTTCAGGGTTTCCAGCATATTAGTACGTCTTATGCACCAGGGTTATTGACGTACTAGTATGTGTAAATTCTAGCGCCTTCAAATCTAGCAAGAGAAAACTGGTAGGCCTACATATAAAAGAATGGGTCTATGTAGTCAGCGTACACAGTATAAAAAAATCCTGCAGCACACAGTGCGTAAAGAGAAAAAAAAAAACTGACTGTGTTTTTAGTTTAAAACAGCTACTTTGCACTGTATTTTTGTATGGTATTTATGGTTGTATTCTAGTTTTTCTGGTCTCATTTTATAGAATGGAAGACATATTACAGAAATTGAGATGATATTGATTGGTTTCACAATGAAAAGTACCTTGAAATTGAGCTCAAATTAGCAGAAATGTTCGATTTTTGCCAACGTTCAAAAGTAAACAAATCATGCCACGCGTGCAATACATGTCAACTGGTGAGTGTAATATTCTTTCACAAGTGCGCTGATATTATTTGTACCATTTCTACACTAATGCAGTAGTCTGCATAACAGTAGTTCTTCTATTTTTTTGTGAGAATAAAAATTCAAAGTTGAAAGCAAAAGAAATGTAAGAGGGGCCTGGGGATGTTACTAATGGACAGAGGAAATGTTATTTTAGTGCCAGGAATGTCTGTCTTGTTTATTCTGGACTCTGGAAATTGGCATCTTCTGAAATTTGTGTGAAATTGGCAAAATTGCCAGTTTCTGACCACTTTATTGGATAGTTGAAATTGGTAAATGGGTGGTTTCTTGTACTCATTTGAAAGGAAATATGGAGTTCTAGCTAAATAGTTATGATTTTTGTCAACTAGTATAATGGAATTGGCCGAAAATAGGGCTCAAAGTGGGCGAAATCGGTGATGCGTAAACATTGTCGAGACCGCTAACTTCGAGAGAGCATAATTCCGTAAGTTTTCCATCAAATTTCATACTTTTGGTGTCATTGTGATTGGGAAAAGATTCTCTATCATTTCATAAGAAAAAAAAAATTTTTTTCCGAAAAATTTTTGACCCTGAAAACAAGTTTAGGAGAGGGCCTCTCGACCCTGAAAGGGTTAAGACTACAAATATTTTAAGGTAAGTAATGAATGTACTGTGTATTATTTTATTTTTTATTGTGTTTTTAATGCCTAGTTCTATTACTAACTTAACCCTTTAACTGTTTCGGTCGTATATATACGTCTTACGAGCCAATGTGTTTGACGTATATATACTAAAAAATTCTAGCAGCTTCAAATCAAGCAGAAGAAAGCTGGTAGGCCGACATGTGAGAGAATGGGTGGTCATTGTGCACCATATAAAAAATCCTGCAGCACGCAGTGCATTATGAGAAAAAAAACTCTGATCGTGTTTTTGGATTAAAATGCCGACTTAGTGGTGTATTTTCGTATAGTATTTATGGTTGTATTCTTGTTTTCTTGGTCTCATTCGATAGAATGGAAAACATGTTATACAAATAGATGTGATTTTGATTGGTTTTACTATGAGAAGAACCTTGAAATGGAGCTCAAAGTAGGGGAAATGTTTGATTTTTGCCGATGTTCAAAAGTAAACAAATGATGTCATTGTCCAATAAATGTCCAACTAGCCATTCTAATATGCAGTCATGAATGGGTTGACATTATTTATACAATTATTACAATATTGCAGTAGTCTGCATAACAGTAAATCTTCTATTGTTTGTTTGAAAAAAATTCAAAATAGAAAGCAAGAGTAATACCAGAGGGGCCTGGAGATGTGACTGATGAACAAAGAAAATGCTATTTTAGTGCCAGGAATGTCTGCATTGTTCATTCTGGACCCTATTTTGAAATTGTCATATATTTTAATTTGTGTGAAATTGGCCAAATTTCCAATTTCTGACCACATTATTGGGTAGTTGCAATCAGTAAATGGGCAGTTTCTTGTACTCAATCCATAGAACAAATGGAGTTCTAAAGAATTAGCTATGAGTTTGGTCGACTGGAACAATGAGATTTGCTGAAAATAGGGCTCAAAGTGGGAGAAATCGCCGAAGTCGCTAACTTCGTGAGAGAGTAATTCCATAAGTTTTCCATTAAATTTTGTACTTTTGGTGTCATTACCATCAGGAAAAGATTCTCTATCATTTCACAAGAAAAAAATAATTTTTTATTTTTCAAAAATTTTTTGACACCAGGAGACACCTCAGGATTTGGGGTTTCAACAGTCAAAGGGTTAATATAAGTTAGTGTAAATTTGTTGTCTAGCATTTATGTGCATTTATAAGTGGAAAAAATGGCTTTCTGGTTTTCGGCGATGTCTGCTTTCTGGCAGTAGCCATATAAGTGGGGCCCTACTGTACATGCTGTTTGGAAACAAAGCTTTAAATATCCAACTTAACATATCTATAAATGGTTCCCCTATTTCAAGACACATTGAGGGCAGATTTCTTACCCACACCCAACATATAGTCAAGAAGGTCTCCAAAATGGTAGGCATCCTTTCCAACATATGGTTCTGTGTACCCCAAATGGCACTACTTACACTGTACCACTCTCTAATTTACCCTTGCCTCACCCATGGCATTTGTACTTGGGGATCTACAACAACTAATCACCTTCACTCATTAATACCCAAACAAAAAGCTGCTGTGCGAATGATCACTAATTCCTGCACCAGATAACACACCTGTCTGCTCTTAGAGAGTTTGAACTTAATTGTAAACTACACATTGTATGTTATGCAAAGAAATCAAAATTTTGAATTTTGAATCAGTCTGCATGTGCCCATCACACGGTCACACCAAACAAGCATATACCCAAAATTGAGGCAGTTGATTACAAAAGAGCTGAGAAATTGTGCTTCAGAATACAATTGTTTAATTTCTACGTATAACCATTTTCACTCAAACAAATATAAGCCAACTACACTTGCATAAAATGAACATATCAGATATACAAAAAAATCAAGCCCAAAAAAAAAAAATGAAAAAAAAATTAATTTTTGAAATTTAACTTGACTATTGTTAACCATGCTCCATTAAACAAATACAGTATACTACATATGTATAGAAAATATTCCTATATACAGAATTGATCCTTGGAATTTTTTTATATATATAAAAAAGTGGTTGATGAAGCTTTTCACTTCTTGGAAAGAGCAACCCTACTTTTTTTTTTTTTTACAAAGGGAGAACCAGATTAGGATGTGTAGGAAAGAAGGAAAATACGTAGTTTCTGATAGAAGTGTCCTCATACAAAGATGTGTGTTGCTACCATGGCTGTTTAATATGTTATAGACTGAGTTGTAAATAAGTGAATATTATTGATACAAATAATTTTTTTTAAAATTGTGGTTTCAATTTAATCAACAGTTGGAATGGGAGGCACAGGTTAATGGTGAAGATTCCATCATTCTTTTGGACAGTATTGTGATCACAGCAGGAGGATGCCCTATACAAATGCAAACCTGTAACTTTGAGTATGAAAGTGATACTGACTTATATTGTGGAGGTAAGTTAATATTGATAACTGGTTGTCTTGGCTACCATATTTAGTGTGGAGTAATTTCCTATATTTAACTGATGCTTCTTTCACTCCTGTTTGAAAAATAAAATTAATCTTGTATACACTTCATATGGTATACAGTCATGCATCATATAACATGTTGCACTCTAAAAATTAGATCCTCTCTTAAGCAGTACAAACCTATCGTACAGTAACAGTCTTATTTTCCTCAGGGTACAAGTCTGGTGCACCTACTAACTTTGAGTTCTTCCGCACATATGCTTCAGAATCTGGTTACAAGTATTCCAGTGATGATCACACATATCAGTCTGCATATGGTAAGCATTCAAAATAATTATAGCCTTTTATTCATATAAAGGACTATTGATATCCTTTACATTAGTATTATTCCTTTCAATACAGGTTTCATAACAAAATTTATTAATTAATTTTTTTTATTCCTTATTTAGGTTATTTTGTTGTAGTTGACTTTGGCAAGGCTTCTCCTGGTGAACAGATAGCTACCATGAATGGCCCAAGTATAATGGAGGATTCAAAGTGCCTCACTTTTTGGTACCAGTTTAAAGAAATCAGTGCAGCTATTTTTCGGGCCATATTAAATGACACACAGGATATAATTTTCTCCAGTGATGGTGAGTTCTGATTGCTACTGAATTATAGACTGTAATGGGAAATCATGTTGTCTAATAAATATTAATAGTGTTGATAGCATTTTTATTGATTTGAGCTTGGAATGAGTTTATTTAGAAGCCTGTTTTCATACACTACTTTCTGTTTTGCTATATTTATTACTGTGTAAAAACTTACTTTGGCAACAGTGGGAACTGGTAACCAGTGGCAGCTGGGTGCAGGAGATGTGTCTCCTTTTGCAAGTAAAGGTCATGTAATCTTCGAAGTTTTCTCTGATGGACCCATAGATGGTTATGTAGAAATAGATGACATCAAACTTGACAATTCTAATGAATGCTCCACACAAGGTAAGAATATACGTACACTGTAGATGGAAATATGCATATGTATATTAGTCTTTGTATGTAACTTTTATAAGTATGTATTTGCTTCTTGTCTACCAACTTGAGTGGCCCTATTGGGAAGAAGAAGCCTGGAGAATAAGTCAGGATACTTGCGCTAGAACAAATCACTACTGGTGAACAGATTTGAAATTCTAGGTTAATAGTGAAAATGATGCTTGTGATTAGAGTATGAATGGGTGTATATTAGCAAAAATCCATGTTTTTCTTGACTTTTATAATCTTCTGTAATCTATTCCTTATCTTTAGAATTCATTTACCATTGCAGTATCCTATCTGTTTGTGTGAACTGTCATATCTGTGCATCTCTGCAAAAGCAGTGATTATGTGTGAATGATGGTGAAAGTGTTTTTCTTTTTTGGCTCATCCTGCCTTTGTGGGAGACGGCCAGTGTGTTGAAGGGGAAAAAAAAAAAAAAAAAAAAAACTTAAGCCACAGTTATTGATATGACTTTAACCATTTTCATGAACATTCTTTAGATCTTCATAGAAATTTTCTGATTTGTATACTATGCTTCTTACTCTTCAAAAATTTAAATTCATGTCATAGCACTGAGAGAAAACTTCTGCTGACTTCTTAATATCTCCCACTCCAGGTGGTTGTAATTTTGAGAGTGACACATGTGGTTGGAGCAACATGGGTAACCTGGAGTGGGTGTTCTCAAAACATGGGGAAGAAAATGGACCTCTTACCACCACTTGCCTTATGTTTGTTACACCAGCTAATGACCTTGTGGGCCAGACTGCCACTCTAGCTTCTCCCATTCTTCTGCCTAATTTAAACTGCATCCAGTTTTGGTAATTCTCTACATATTTATTTTGTTTTGTGTACCTATCTCAGGATTTCTTCATTTGTATTTTGTTAGCAAAAACTGGAAGCAGTTGGAGATATTGTATCTGAGGGCAATGAGTGGTGTAAATATTATGCAGAGTATTTGTGGCTTTGAGACCAGGAGGAGGTGTGGGGTTACTAAAAGTATTATCCAGAGAGTTGAGGAGGGGTTGTTGTGGTGGTTTTGACATTTAGAGAAGATGGAGCAAAATAGTGTGATTTGGAGGGTGTATAAATCTGTAGTGTAGGAAAGTAGGGGTAGGGGATGTCCTAGGAAAGGTTGGAGAGAGAGGATAAAGGAGGTTTTGTGTGTGAGAGGCTTGGATATCCAGCAGTCATGTGAGCATGTTAGATAGGAGTGGAGGCCAATGGTTTTTTTGGGACTTGATGAGCTGTTGGAGTGTGAGCTAGGTAACATTCTGTGAAGGAATTCAGGGAAACTGGTTAGGCTGATTTGAATCTTGGAAAGTACTGTGCCTGCACTCTGAAGGAGGAGTGGGGAATATTTGCAGTTTGGAAGGATATCTAATCTGTAGTATTGATGAACCTCTGGCAAGACAGTGCTAGAGTGAATGATGGTAAAAGTGTTTATTCTTTTTTTTATGTTGCCCTGCCTCAGTGGGATACAGGTGGTATGTTAAAAAGGAAAACAGTACGAGAGTTAGGAGAAAGGAGAGGGATCACATAACATCTGCAGTGGTGAAGTCTGTGGGTGCAGGTGGGTGATGCTGAATGCTTCTTGTTTTGTTTAATGGTATCGTTAGTTTGAATGTAGGTGGCCTCTAATCATCATCTTATTCAAACCAACAAAAATATCAAACAGAATCAAGGAGTGTTCAGCATTGTAAGTCAAATTGCCTAAGTTATTTTACAGCAGCAGATACAATGCTCAGTACAGGTGATGTCTATATCAACACATTTCACCATCACAAAGATAACAGGTGCCAGCCTTCTTTCTCTCCACGATCTTTCTCTCTATAAAGGCCATGTCACTATGTTTAGAGTAAAATAGCCTATAAATCAAAGTTTATTCTGTACATAGTATCTTTTCAGTATACATTACAGAAAGTTTTGCCTCTGAGACATACAAATATTGCTATTGTTAAACTTGAGGTGAGGAATCTGTTTTGTCATGAATATTCCAATGTACTGTACCATAAAACAAATTTGTTTTGTGTAGCAGTCATTAGACAACATCTTATAATATGAGAGAGTTTAGTATGCATTCTATATTGATATGTAGGTAATGACTGTTGTTGTACTGTCATTATTTTTGTTTTGCAAATTTATATTTTTTTTTGCAGGAAATAAACAAACTTTTAATGATAAACAGTAAATGATTTTGACATTGCTGTCATACAGTTAAAGGAAGATTATGTATTTCACATGCATTTCTAATTTACAAATTAATTTGGACAGGTATAAGAAGTTGGTAGGTTCCCCAGCTTCATTGTTAGCAGTTGAAACCCTAGTACCAGCCTTCTCTGGGGATTACTTTGAAATTTCGCTTTGGCAGCTGAATAATAATAATGATGACTACTGGCACAATGGAAGGTTTCCATTACCAGACTTGTTAATGGACAATGTGCAGGTGAGATTTGGAAGGCTGTGAAAAAAAGTCTGAAAAACATTGTATTATCAGAGTCAGATGTCTTGTTTAATTATCTTCTTGAAAGACTTCAACATTAGCTGTTTGTCTATTCCATATATATGCCAGCTTCTCCACATTGCATGCTTACTTCAATTTGAAAATTTCGGTAGTGTTTTCCTGGAGATGTCAGTGGTATAAAGTTAGAATTGAAAATTGTGATCATTGCCAAAACAAAACTAAGCCAGAATATTCAGCAAAAATCAAAAGTGCTAGTGGCCAGGATAAATATCTGAAATTAGATCCAGACTCTAGGCATTCAACAATGCATAATAAGTAATAAAAATACTGTAACTGTAAATCCCCTAAAGGAAACTTGGATATGTTGTACTTTCATAAATTGAGAAAATGAAATGATGGATATGAGTATTTAATGTAACTATGTGCCAGTATTTTTTTTATGAGTGTGGGGCATAGGCATTGATTATTGAAACAAAAAGGCAAGGGTAGTGGAAATTTCACATTTGAGTGTGGTGTCAATATTATGCAGTGTATAAAATAGAAGACAATGCCAGAAGCGTGTGGATATCATGGTTCAGATGAAGCTCCAAACTGTGACATCCTCACCCTCCTTCAGAGTGCAGGCATTGTACTTCCCACTTAAAGAATTCAGCACTAACAGCACATGAAACTCTAAAACTACTTGTTTTGAACACACTAACAATCTGAGAATGGCACAGCAGCAAAAGCAAAGTCTGAACCAAAACTAGCTCAGACCCACAGAAGAAAAAAGACAACAGTAAAGGGCTAGGTAATTCATCTAAGGAAGAAAGGAGAAGAGCTCATGAACAGTGACAAGGAAATCTCTGAAGTGTTGATAAAACAATTTGAAGAGGACTTCTCAGGGAAAACAAGGGCAGGATCTGAGAGATTAAGGCACAGGGGGCACCAAAAAGCACTGGATGCCATCCACACAACAGGGAAGAGGTAAAGAAACTTTTGAGTAAGCTGGATACATCAAAGACAATGGGACCTGACAATGTGTTGCCATATGAGAGGGTGCAGAAGCATTGTCTAAACCACTAGTTATGATCTACAATAAATCAGTGGATATGGAATAGTTATCAGAGATCTGGAAGACAGCATTTGTAGTCCTAATGCTTAAAAAAGGAGACAGACATGAGGCATTAAACTGCAGACCAATTTCTCTGACATGCATACCTTGCATGGTAATGGAGGAACTTATGAGGGGAAGAATGATTGAACACTTGGAGAAAAGTAGTTTCATAAACAACAACCAGCATCGGTTGAGGGATGGCAAATCTTGTCTCACTAACTTCAGTTGGGGTTGTATGACAAAGAGAGAGGGTTGGGTGGATTGCATTTTTTTTAGACTGCAAGAAGGTGTTTGATACTTAACCCCCTCAAGAGGCTGGGCCAAAAACTTTCGATTCAGACAGGAATAACAGAATGAGCCCTGGTGGATCAAAGATTATCAGTACACATACTGAGTGTCCTTGGTTCTATCCCCTGCATTGGTGGAAATGTTGTGCATGTTTCCTTGTACCTGCTGCCCCTGTTCACCTAGCAGTAAGTAGGCACTGTTGTGGGTCACAACAACTCTTAACAAGTAAAATTGACTTGTGTAAAAAAAAAAAAAATGATCTGGATAGATTGCAAGAATGGTCAGATAAGGGGTGGCTTGAATTCAACACCAGTAAATGTAAGGTCATCAACATTGAAGGAGGAGCAAGAAGACCAGAAACACGGTATAGACTAAGGACACAGAGGCTGCAGACTTCACTCAAAGAGAAAGATCTAGGTGTGAACACAGTGCCCAGTATAATGCGAGGCTTGCATGACCCATGTAACTTCTTCAGCCAATGCTCATCTGGCAAATCTATGAGTAGCCTTCAGGAATCTCAACATAGTCATTCTAAGCCTTTTGTATAACATACATTAGGCCTGTCCTGGAGTGTCTGGCACCAGTAGGGAACCTGCACCTGGAGAAGCATGTTAAGAAACTGCAGAACATGCAGAGGTATGCAGCAAGAAGAAGCCAGAAACAGGAACTTGGGGATACCATTGGGAGTTAAGGTCACAAATGAGCCGCAGGGATGTTAGGAAGTATTTCTTCAGTCTCAGAGTGGTCAGGAAGTGAAATGATCCTGGTAGGTGATGGAGGCAGGCTTCATTCATAGCTTTAAGAGCAGGTACAATAGGGCCCATGAGGCTAAGTGGTAGTGATTCTTAACCCTTTGACTATTGCAAGCCTTTTTCTGAAACTGTCATTCTATGTTGGAAAACTTTAAAAAAAAAAAACTATTTTTTCTTATGAAATGATAAAGAATCTTTTCCCGATAGTAATGACACCAAAAGTGCAAAATTTCGTCGAAAACTCACGGAATTACGCTCTCGCGAAATTAGCAGTCTCGGCGATATATACGCATCGGTGATTTCGCCGACTTTGAGCCCTATTTTTGGCCAATTCCATTGTTTTAGTTGACCAAACTTGTAGCTATTTCTTTAGAACTCCATTTTTTTCTATCAACTGAGCACAAAAAACTGCCCGTTTACCAATTTGAACTACCCAATAAAGTGGTCAGAAATTGGCAATTTGGCCAATTTCATGCAAATTAAAAAAGATGCCAATTTCAAAATAGGGTCCAGAATAAACAATGCAGACATTCTTGGCACTAAAATAGCATATCCTCTGTTCATTAGTCATGTCTCCAGGCCCCTATTATATTACTCTTGCTTTCTATTTTGATTTTTTATTCACACAAAAAATAGAAGATTTACTGTTATGCAGACTACTGCATTATTGTTAAAATGGTATAAATAATATCAGTCCACTAGTGGAAGAATATTAGACTCCCCAGTTGACGTGTATTGGACGTGTGGTGTGATTTGCTTTCTCTTGAACATTGGAAAAATAGAACATTTCCACTACTTCAAGGTTGTTTTCATCGTTAAACTAATCAAAATCATCTCTATTTCTCTAATATGTTTTACATTCTATCAAATGAGACCAAGAAAACGAGAATGCAACCATAAATACTATACGAAAATACATCTCAAAGTCGGCATTTTAATCCAAAAACACCATCGGAGTTTTTTTTCTCATGCACTGCGTGCTGCAGGATTTTTTTATGCAGTGCACACTGATCACACAGACCCATTCTCTCACATGTGGGCCTACCAGCTTTCTCCTGCTTGATTTAGAGCCGCTAGAATTATTGAGTATGTATGCGTCCAAACCACTGGCTCGTAAGATGTATATATACGACCAAAACAGTCAAAGGGTTAAGAGTGGCAAGTTAAGAGGCAGGGCCAGGCTCTGAAAATTGACCCCCTGCAGCCACAAATAAGTAAGCACACACTAACACCCTAACACAATCTAACACACCTATTTAAAAATAGGTGTGTGACATCTAAACTGTCATATCTGGGCACCTCTGCAAAGACAATGATTGTGTTAATGATGGTGAAAGTGTTTCTTTCTTTTTTGGGTCTCCCTGACTTGGTGGGAGGTACTGGTGTGTTAAAAAGAAATAATAAAATTAATAATATTAACAATAATGGTAGTTATAATAATAATAATAAAATTAATAATAATACAGTAATAATAATGATAAATTTTAAATATTGTTTCAATAATACCCACACATTTTACATGCATTTAATACATTACAACCAGATATTTGAGCCTTACTTGTTATGTGAATTATGTTCAAATACTTTTTTGTCAAGTGTTTACTCATTTAGAAAATACTGTGTCCTTTAGGTTGAGTTTATCGCAACACGACTTGAGGGTAATTGGAGCTTGGGGCACAGTAATGGCTTGATATACCTAGATGATGTGGAGATACTTTCCAGCTCTGACTGCACCCTCTTACCACCTGATGCTGTACCTAGTAGCACCACCCCAACAATGTCTACAGCAGTTCCCACTGGTACAGATTGTATTATGATTTATTCATCCTTGTAAATACTGTATTAATTATAGTACTACAGCATTTAAAATGAGAATAAAGCTAAATTCAGAGCTATGTAATTTAGTATCTCATCAAAAATTATTTACTCTTTATAAGGAGATTATTTAGGAAAATTTTGTACTTCCCAGCTTTCAGGTACTATATTTGCTTTGTATGTAGTGTATATGCCTCTACAATGTGTAATATGTTTTAATGGAATTCATTTTCACTTTAGCTCTTTAGTCACATATGTCAATGAATGTGTGTTGCATAAATATCACTGATTAATAATAATGGTACAAATTAATTTTGTTCAGTTTTCTATGACATTCATGTAAGGCAATGAACTTTTAGAAGTACTGTACATTTTATATGCAGCATTACTACCAAGATTTACTCGTATTGTATTGTATCTGTGGACATTCATGATTCCAGTGGGGTGCACTTCTGAAAACTGCATTATCGATGAGCTCTGTGACTTATGGAGTGAAGAACACGTGACAAAAATAGGGTTGCCTCCTTCAAATGTGCCTCTCCCAAGAAAAAAATAACATCATAATTCTTAAAATAATAATTTTTTCTACCTAATTTTGTTGATGAGGATACTTTGTGAAATACTGTACCTGAACTCTAGTGAGTTTTAAACCAAAATATTTAGAGTTAATTTTTCAGTGAATTACATAGAATAAATGAATGTTGATGCTGTGGACAAGTGTGCTTGATGTACACAAAAACTGCTAGACCAGTTGTCTCGATTAACCCTGCCAATGTGATATTGGATCAGTGATCTATTTCAAAATTTGTACCCCTAAAACTGTCATGTAATGATTGCATATGTGCACTATCTTTTATCTTAGTTGTTGTTTTGTTCTGATTATTAGTTTTATTTTTTAGTGAATGGATTATATAGGTAATCTTTATCGAGGGTGTAGAGGACAGATATAAGTAGTTGAGTTTATTTATTTTTAAGGTATGTATTTCTGGTTGCTTAAGCATTTGGTTTGTTTTTGTTTTTTCAGCAGAACACAAATTCATTAGATTCTTTAAGTATAAGTCACAGAGGCTAGTGGCGGTACATATTGGAAAAGGTTTATAGATTTCTTCTCAGATAATTTCTCCATAGAGAATAATTGAGAGAAGATTATTCAGTTGCTTTTCATGTTATCCTTAACTTAGTATAAAATTGTGTCATTTTTAAGTCATAGGCCTATTTTGTTTTTTAATTATACTGGCTACTGCTCAGTAGTATCTTTTTTACTTTTTTTTCTGGATATTGCCAATATCCTATCAATAGTTATAAATGCACTGTATGTATTGTAAACTTCTCATACTTAGGAGAGGAAGCATTAAACAACATTTTGGTCCATTCAGGATCATCAGTGGTCAGAACAGATGGAAATGTCATCTTAAGTTTCCTCTCATAAGTGTGGTATTTTGTGAGTTGTTCCAGCCATAGTACTCTAACTAATATTCTGTTGTACACTATTTTCATTTAGTGTTTGTTAAAAAGTTTTCATTAGGATATGGGTTTGGATGAAGGACACAGCAAAGCCCACTTTATATAGAATTTTTGTGTATGGTAAGGCTCCAACTGACAGCATTAATATGTCTTTGATTATTGTTCATTACTTAGGTATTTGGAACTTAAAACTTATTTTCCCATATACTGTACACCTATTTTATACTCAAGCGATGAGTTTCCCAACTATAATACTCCATATCTAATTTTTTCACACAAAATTACTAAGCATTGTACAGTAATTGTGATTGGTCCTTTTCACTTTCCTCCCTCTTTCTTCTTCCCATTCTCTTTCCTGTCCTTACCTCCTTTCCTTTCTTGTATTTCCTCCTTCATTTAGTGGGGATGGAGAATATTGGAGAGAGGCAACAGCAACAATGATTGTCTCTCCCAATGGATCTGACAACACTTGAATTATGCCCTCTTATGTTGAGGTTATCATGTATCAGTAGGGAGGTAGCAGGGAGGATTTCTGCATGTCTGGGTTTTATAATGTGGAGGGAAGGTGGAGGAAGGTGATTTGAAAATCAGCACCCTAGTAACTGCCCACATACAGTAGAACTCTGGTTTTCATACGGTCTGAATATCATACAGTTCAGATTTAGAACACTTTTTGAGGAAAAATTTTGATCCAAATTTCATACCTCCATTTGAAAATCATACGTATCAGACGCGTCCACCCACCCGGGATGCCACCACTCATGTGTACATGTCTCAGTCTGGCTTTGTCACTGGTTGAGTGAGCATCCATCTGAAGCATTTCACAATTTTTGTGCTTGTTTATTGATTGTGACTGCAAAATAAGCCACCATGGGTCCAAAGAAAGTTCCTAGTGCCAGCCCTTTGGTAAAGAAGGCGAGAAACACTATAGAATTCAAGAAAGAGATTGTAGAAAAATACAAAAGTGGCGTACATTTAGCTGAGCTTGCGAGGATGTATGGGAAGTCAAAATCAACAATCTGTTCCATCCTGGCAAAGAAAGTAGAAATCAAGGAAGCAAATCTGTCCAGAGCTCTCTGGACAGATTTTTAGTGTGACAGGGGTCCAGTTTTAGTAAAAGACAAAGAAGAGAAGTAACCCCAGAGAGGGCTTTGATACCTGCAGTTCTTGTGGAGGGGGCTTCCCCTTCCTAACAATAATCTCAACTCCCTCTTCCCTCCTCACCCTCTTCAACACACCAACAAGAGTCTTCAATAAAGGTATGTAATGTTCATTTATCATTAAAATTAGTCATTTATGTTTATTTCTCATTGTTTTCTGTATGTAAAACTATAGTTATTCTTTCTAAAATTTATTTTTTGTTAATATTTTTGGGTGTCTGGAATGGATTAATTGTATTTACATTATTTCTTATGGGAAATATTACTAAAGTTTTCGTACGTTTCAGATTTAGACCGACCTTCTGGAACGGATTAAGTACGAAATCCGGGGTTCCACTGTAATTAGAATACAGAATAATAATGAAAGACGATTCCAAACAGTGTAGTAATATACATACTTAACAGTGTTAAGAGTAATAGTCCAGTAATAACCTTTTGCTTTTTCAGTTACATGTTTTATTTTTTATTAAAGTATGTGATGAAAAAATAATTCAAATAATAAAAATTTCACCTTTTTTTTTTTATATTTCAGTGACACCCAGTGAAGCATCATGCAACTTCTCAAATAAGAATTTTTGTGAATGGACAGCGGTGCCTGAAAGTGTCATGTGGAGTATTGAGAATGGAGACTCTGATACTCACGGTGTTGGACCACTAGGAGATCATACTACAGGTTATTAAAAATACTACCCTGTTCTTTAATATTTCGTAGCTTATTTTCCATTGGTTGAATATTTATTATTAACTTTTCATTTGTGTTACTTTATAAACAAATACAATCCTTTTCTTTTTTTAGGTGATGGTTACTTCATGAGCCTTACACCATCCATGAACAACTCAAAGGGTGTTGCTATTGTTTCCAGTCCTGAAATGACTCCAGTGAAGGTTAGTGGGCACCACAATCTACTGCTCTAATAAATTATGTGTTAAGGAATGAACACAATGAATATATATTTTCTAAATTTACAACCAAAATTTTAAAGATGCCAGTTACTGTTGGAGCAGTCTACAGGCTGCTTCATATTAACACTCCCACCTTCATTGACAACCTTAAAAAGAATAATAATTAACAAGCAGTTAAACATCATGTAATACTTGCTGGTGACTTCAACATAAACTTTATCCAGGCTGAAGGCCATCAAGTAGCTGCTTTCACAGAACATGAGCAATTGCTTGCTATTTCCATCTATAAGTATAAAAGAATTTCTGAGAGAAGTACAGGAAGGCCCCGCTTTACGGCGTTTCACTTTACGGCGTTCCGCTAATACGGACATTTCAAATTATGACCAAAACTCGCTATACGGCTCCCCCCACCTGACTTTCTAATACGGTCACCGTGCCCCACCCTGTTTGTTTACGTTCTCCATGAGCTCAGTAAGCACTAAGTCTCTTCATTTTGTCTGGAAACTCCAAAATTTCAAATGTTTTTAAAAGTTATTTCATATTTTATATATACTCTGATAATTATACTTATGTATACCTGTACCTAAATAAACTTACATACTGTGCTGGCATGCAGGTACACATTAAAATTGGTAAGTGTCTTATGTCTCCAGACGTCATATTAGTAATGATAATAATAATCATCGAGTCATTTAAATGTCGTATATTACGTTAATATACACATTTTCATTAATCCATCCATGATATTTTTTTTTCAAAATTATATAATAAACACGATGCATAACATATAAATAAGATAAATACACCCCACAGTAGAATAAATAAACATAAATGTGAGATGTGGTAGCAGACGACTTGCACAGTGACGCCATATTAGAAATGATAATAATAATAATAACAATACTCACCGAGTCTCATTAAATGTCGTATATTACGGTAATATACACATTTTCATTAATCCATCCATGATATTTTTTTTTCAAAATTATATAATAAACACGATACATAACATAAAAAGATGATAAATACACCCCACAATAGAATAAATAAACATAAATATAAGATGTGGGAGCCACATAACTTGTACAAGTGATGGCAAGAATAACATTTTCTCTAATCTAACATAAGAGAAAATGTTACTGGGGGTAACTGTAGAAAATTATTCCTTTCGTATGTAAGTAAGTAAGTTTATTCAGGTATACACAAATACAGTTACATAGATTATCATACATAACAACATACGTGTAGAGAACCTAGGATAACCCAAAAAAGTCAGTGTGACTTATTTCCATTGCCTTCACTCAGAGCTTCATTTCTTCTCAAAATGATGTTACATGAGAATGGGAGTGTTCTTCTTTATTAATTCTACCGTATCAATGTAGAGACAACCTGTACACAATGTAACTTGTACACAAACCAGACGTGTACACTTCGTTTGTTTACAAAACTTACGTTCGCCTGGTTTGTTTACATAACTCTGCGCCTGTCCCCTCTCATGTACTCATTCTTTCTCTCTCTCATTTATTCGTTTTATCTCATTTACTTACTCCTGACCCTACATTAAGACTACAAATATTTTAAGGTAAGTAATGAGTGAACTGTATATACATTTTATCGCTCTGGGATGCTTAAATATCATAGAATAGTATGTGTGGGTGGGGTGGCCTGGTATGGTAGCCTGGCTGACACCATACATACCACACTTGATTTCTTACAATAAATACTACTTGTCTCACCCTAGATTAAGACTATAAATATTTTAAGGTAAGTAATGAGTGCACTATGTGTGTATTGTACTTTTTTATTGTTTTTTGATGCCTGGTTCTATTGCTAACTTAATATATGTTAGTGTAAACTTGTTATCTAGTGTTTGTATGCATTTATAAGTGGAAAAAAAGGGTGTTCCACTTTACGGTGGTTTCCGCTTTATGGCGGTAGCCTGGAACCTAACCTGCCGTATAAGTGGGGCCCTCCTGTACATTATTAATAGATCATATCTGGACCAGTATAGTAGCTCCTCTTAAAGCAAAGATAATCACAGACAGCACTACTGATCACTATCCAATCTTTTTCATAACCAACATACGTAAATTACTACAAGACATTTGTAAGATCTCATATCATCTCCATGATAAAACATCAATAAATAGCTTTATTACAGCAATATGTGACATTATCTGGTGCAGAAAGTACTGACAATAGTTCAGATTATGTAAATCATTATAAACACTATACTTACTGTCACTATCTGTAACCCTCCCAGTCGTTAAACAAATGATTGTCCTCCCTTAAGGTAAATAATCAAACCTGTAATTCCTCTCAAATTAATTTGTTAAAGCCATATAACATGAACTGATAAAATAATCTATTTTCTTGTATTCATTGTAAACTCCTAAATTTACACTTTATTGTTATTGCCTTATTAATCTTAAGTAAGTTTGAAGTTTGCCCGAAATGCTCTACATATTTAGGGGCTTTCGGCATGGACGCCCAAATGTCATTCTCCTTTCCACAAGCATTGTATCATGCTGAAATGAACTGTTATTATTATTATTATTATTATTATTATTATTATTATTATTATTATTATTATTATTATTATTATTATTACTGTGCTAAATATATATATATAGGACAGTTAATTCCAATAAACATCCTTCTCTGAAACTCTCCCTTGATAGCTGCAACAGAACTCATAGGCATAACATAAGACACAGAAACCTTTTTGACATACCCCATGCCTAACTTAACTTGTGATTAGAGCCACTAGCCTGTGGTGTGTATTTTGTGTCAACTTATCCTTTTCCATTTTCTCTACATGCCAAATCACCTCAACAAACCCACTGTGTCATTTGCTATGCTCCTGATTCTCTGCATGATATTCATGTCACACATTGGTCTCAAATATGACGTCTCTGCTGCCTCTAACCTCCTTGCTCAGTGTTCAGAACTCGTCTCACACCCATATAAAAGTGTTGGTACATTCATACTCTGGCATATTCCCATTTTTGTCTCCATGAATAAACTTACTTTAACAATATTTTATAAATATTTATACTGTTGCCTTGATTTTTATATTTAATGTTTACTTATTTCCATAAACATATTAATAATTCAGTAATCTGCCTTGCATTACACTGTACATACAGGACTTGTGTATACGCTGGTGGTACCACATGGATGGTTCTGATGTGGGAAACCTTGATGTTTATCTCAGGAATTTTGGTCTTAACACTAAAATATGGACCAGAAGTGGCTTTCAGGTACAGTTACTTGTCTTATTAATAGTACCGTGAGTAATAATTTTGTTTTTCATTTGTAAATGATTGAGCACATAATTTATTTTTATTTATACTTAATCTTAGAGAAATTATAGTAAAAACTTAACACTGAATACTTACAAAGCCTACTTCATTCAGTTTGAAAACAAAGCTACAAACATTCCATTTAACATAACGCTAAATGGATCACCTATCACAAGATTCATGGAGGGAAAATTCCTAGGAATCCACCTTGACAGTAGCCTCAAGTTCCAGATACATATACAACAAATAACCAAGAAAATCTCTAAGACTGTAGGCATACTATCAAAGATACGATACTATGTTCCACAATCAGCTCTCCTTGCACTGTATCATTCACTCATCTACCCTTATCTCACATATGGAATATGTGCATGGGAATCAACAACATTAAATCACCTAAGACCACTAATAACCCAGCAAACTGCAGCAGTCAGAAAGATAACAAATTCCCACTCCTGACAACATACTCCACCAATATTCAAAAGTCTAAATCTGCTCACCATTAAGAACATCCATACTTATTCGTGTGCCTACTACATACATAGAACAATACATGCAAACATAAACCCTCCACTCAAACTTTTCCTCACCAATCTTAACAAGACACATGACCATAACACAAGACACAGATCTCTTTTTGATGTACCCTGTGTCCATATCACACTGTGTAAAAAGTCTGTGCACATAAAGGGCCCCAAAATTTGGAATTCATTACCAGAAAATACCAAAGTAACCTGGTCTGAAAATCAATTTAAGAAAGAGAAAGAGACAGGCGCTCCCTTTACGGGCGACGGAAAAGAATAACAGAGCGGCTAAAAGAGGCCAATATATCTGAAATGCATAGGGAGACACTGGTCAGAGAAATAGCAAACTAATCCACAAGAGATTATACTCTTTTCTAGCATTATTGGAGATACTTGACCACTGCCAGTTTAGTTTCAGACCAAATAAAGCACAAACGATGCAATTATAAAAATGCTAGACCTCATTTATGCAGCTCTTGAGAACAATAAATATCCACTAGGTCTCTTTACAGACCTTAGGAGAACATTTGATACAGTAGACTGTAACATCTTGCACCTTAATTAACTCTTTGACTGTCTTGGTCATATAAATATGTCTTGCAAGCCAGTGTTTTTGATGTATTAGTACACCAAAATTCTAGTGGCTTTAAATCAAGCGGGAGAAAGCTGGTAGGCCCACATGTGAGAGAATGGGTCAGTGTGTGCAGTATAAAAAAATCCTGCAGCATGCAGTGCATAATGAGGAAAAAAAAACCTCTGTGTTTTTGGATTAAAATGCCGACTTTCAAGTGTATTTTTGTGTAGTATTTATGGTTGTATTCTCGCTTTCTTGGTCTCATGTGATAGAATGGAAGACATTTTACAGAAATAGAGATGATTTTGAAAGTGAGCTCAAAGTAGTGGAAATGTTCTATTTTTGCCGATGTTCAAGAGTAAACAAATGACGTCACTGTCCAATACGTGTCCAACTAGCCATTCTAATATGCAGTCACGAATGGGTTGACATTCTATATACAGTTATTAAAATAATGCAGTAGTCAGCATAACGGTAAATCTTCTGTTTTTTGTGTGAATAAAAGTTCAAAATAGAAAGCAAGATTAATAAAAGAGGGGCCTAGAGACTTGACTAATGAACAGAGAAAATGTGATTTTAGTGCCAGCAATGTCTGCATTGTTTATTCTGGACTCTGTTTTGAAATAAGCATCTTTTTTCATTTGCATGAAATTGGCCAAATTGCCAATTTCTGACCACTTTATTGGGTAATTGAAATCGTAAATGGGTAGTTTCTTGTACTCAGTTGATAGAACAAATGGAGTTCTAAAGAAATAGCTTTGAGTTTGGTCAACTGGAACAATGGAATTGGCTGAAAATAGGGCTCAAAGTGGGCGAAATCGCCAATGCATATACTATATTGCTGAGATTGCTAACTTCGCTACTGTAATTCCGTAAGATTTCCATCAAATTTTGTACTTTTGGTGTCATTATCATCGAGAAAAGATTCTCTGTTATTTCATATGAAAAAAATAATTTTTTTTCTGAATATTTTGCGACAAAGAGACACTTCAGGATTTGGGGTCGCAACAGTCAAATGGTTAAACTTCAACATTATGATTTCAGAGGTCATGCACTTGCATATCAAAAGTAATACCTTAATAACAGACACCAATATATCATCTATCAACAAAGGGATGCCCAGAGACAGTGTACTCAGCCCTCTGCTTTTCCTCATATATACATGTATATGTGTATCAGCAATCTTGCAAGTGTATCCCAACAACTTAGACCTGTTCTGTTTACACACAAAACAACTTTTGTTATCTCCCACCCAAATCTGAACTCTTCCAGTAACATAACTAATGAGGAGTTCATAAAAAATATCTACCTGGATAACTACTAACAAACTCACTCTTAACATTGACAAGACCTTCTACATGATGTTTGGGAAAAGAGCTACAAATGTCCAACTAAATGTTATGATCAATGGTTCTCCCATTGCAAGACAAAACAAAGGAAAATTCTTAGGTCTGTTCCTTGATAGCAACTTGAAATTCAACACCCACATTCAGCGCATAACAAAAATTGCTAGCGAGTGGAAAAGAGCAGTTTTGTGGTATCAAATTTATTTATTTATTTATTTTATGTCTTTGCAAACAGTACATTGAGATTTTGTGTTTACAATAGTGAGTTGTAATGCAATGAGAGCCTCTATTATGCCTAGGCATTATGCATCTAAAATGCCTGAAAAAGATGTTTACATTATCATATATTAAGAGTTCAATACAGCTAGGCCAAAAAAATGCAATACGAAAGTGAAACAAATATACACTACATACAATACTTACCTTTTTATATGGTGCCGGATGCTCATCCCTGATGCAGCTGTTGTGTGAAAAAATGGTGATAATGGCAGAAAAGCAGAAAAAGCACCAAACATTAGGAACAATGGCTTAATTGAAAACTGGCAAAATCGTAGTACACCCAACAGAGGGGGTGAAAAACCGGGGCCATCCTGCACATTTCTATGTACTTTGAACAGTACTACTTACATTATACTACTCTCTGATCTATTCCTACCCCAACTATGCTATTTGTGCCTAGGGATCCACTACAGCAAATCACCTAAAGCCAATAATAACTCAGCAAAACGCAGCTGTGTGAATGATCACCCAGTCTAGTGCCAGACAACACACTTCCCCAGTCTTCAAAAGACTAAACTTACTTAATATACATAAAATTCACTCATCTACTTGATAACTGAAACAGAACTAATAGGCATAATATCAGACACAAGAATCTATGATATTCCATGTGTCCAACTGAACCTGTGTAAAAACTCACTCTGCATAAAAGCACCTGAAATCTAGAACTCTTTGCCTGAAGATACTAGAGGCTTCCTGCCTGCCAACAACTTAGAAGCTACTGTTAAAAATACACTTCCTTACCTTAATGGGATCCTGACAACAATTCATTATACCTAACAAATCCTGACACCCTGTCTTTCATCCATTATTGTCCCTGTTCTTGTTCCATCCTTCCTCAACTCTCTTTTATTACTAGAAAGGCATTATTTCCTTGTATCAGTTCAAGTACATAGCTTCATTCTTAATGTATCTTCAGTTAGAATTTTTATTAAAGTTCTGAATACCTTCAATATAATATATACTAAGTATTCTTTTTCTCAAGTACCTTATGTGTCTCATTGTCAAGTAATTATAAGCTAAGTATTAAGGCTGCCTGAAATACTTTGCATAACAAGGGGCTTTCTGTAAAGTAGTTTATACATGGCATACTGTACAGTATGCCATTTTATAGAAATAAAGTTGCTTGTTTTGTTTTAGCAGACGAAGTCCACTACTTCAGAAGACAGCTGGATGATCATTCTGTATTAATTCCATAGTTCAGAATTTGTGGACAGCCGGCATTATTGTACGTTATCATACATCATTATTTATTTGTTTATATCTTTGTGGATAATTCACCAGTTTATCTCCCCACAGACTGCGGGATGGCTTGAAACGTACTTTGGTATCAACACTTCCAGGACATTCCTTATAGAATTCAGAGGTTTTCAGGGTGACAACCCCCTTGCAAACATTGCTGTAGATGACATTGACTTCAGTTCGTCTGTGTGTCAAGGTTAGAGGAAATCTGTAAAGGTTGGTTTCAGATGGAAAAATTTGGTTTGGCATCTTTATCTGTCGTCCCCATTTCAGCTCTTTTCATTTAAATCAATGTTTCACCTGACAATCTAGCCATGCCGCTGCTGGTGGCTTTCTTGGTTGGTGGATGAATTTGGGAGGGTATGTAAAAGAAGGAAATTGAAAATGAACAAAGGCAAGAGCAAGGTAATGAGAGTAGCAAATGATTTAGGTAATGAAAGATTGGCTATCAGATTGGAAGGAGGGAGTATGGAGGAGGTGAATGTGTTTGGATATTTGGGAGTGGACTTGTTGGTGGATGTGTCTGTTTGTTTATTTATTTATTTATTTATTTATTTATTTATTTATTTATTAGTTTGAACATGATACAGAGAAGTACAAAGAAATACAGTTATTAAAGTGCAACATACCAAAGCCCCTTGTATCTCTAAAATATGAAGTGAGCCATAGAAATGATGAGAGGGAAAAGGTGGGTTGTGAATTAAGGCATTTGTTGAGATAAAGAATGTTATCCTTGGGGGTAAAAAGGATAATGTATGAAAGTATAATGGTACCAACACTAATATATGGTTGTGAAGTATATTTTGGAGATTAGGAGGTGCAGGGTAACTAAAAGTATTATTCATAGAGCTGAGGAGGGAGTGTTGAGGTAATTTGGACAGTAGAGAGGCTGGGGCAAAATAGAATGACTTGGAGGGTGCATAAATCTGTAGTGGAGGGATGACAGTAGGGGGGTTGCCCTAGGGAAGATTAGAGAGAGGGGATAAAGGTTTTGTGTGTGAGAGGCTTGAACATACAGCAGGTGCATGTGAGCATGTTAGACAGGAGTGGATGCAAATAGTTTTTATGACTTGACAAGCTGTTTGAGTGTGAGCAAGGTTCATTTGTGAAGGAATTCAGGAAAATCAGTTAGCCAGACTTCAGCTCTGGTGGTGGGAAGTACATGTATACTGCCTCCACTCTGAAGGAGAGGTGAGGATATTTGCATTGATAGAGTAAACGATGGTGAGTCTTCTTTTTTTGAGTCACCCTGCCTCGTGGGAGACAGCCAGTGTGTTAAAAAAATAATAAGCAAAGGAAAGGGAAGGGACATTAGTTGATCTGTCAGGAAACTTTTCCACCTGAGTACTCTGAAATATACCTGCCCCAGCACGATTATCACTCTACCTTACAGGGACTTAAAAAAATCCAGTGTAATATGTATTTCATGGTTGGAATCTAAACTGACATTTTTTAGTTATTTCATTCTTTCATCATTGCCTTACCCTCCAAAAGTTTCTTTTTCTCTTGTTACTTTCCAATAAATAATTTGCATCATGAATTTTATTTTCTCATGTTTTCAGTTTTACTCATAACAATCCAGAATTAATAGAACAGTTTCTTACACTTTCTCCAATCTTTATTTATTACATTAACCCTTTGAGGGTTTCGGCCGTACTAGTACGGCTTATGACCCAGGGTTTTTGACGTACTAGTACACCTAAATTCTAGCGCCCTCAAATCTAGTGGGAGAAAGCTGGTAGAAAGTAGAATGGGTCTATGTGGTCAGTGTGCGCAGTATAAAAAAAATCCTGCAGCACACAGTGCATAATGAGAAAAGAAAAACTTTGACCGTGTTTTTGGAATAAAACAGTGACTTTGCACTGTATTTTATAGAATGGAAGACATATTACAGAAATTGAGATAATTTTGACTGGTTTTACAATGAAAAGTACCTTGAAATTGAGCTCAAAGTAGCAGAAATGTTCGATTTTTACCAAAGTTCAAAAGTAAACAAATCATGCCAAGCGTCCAATACACTTCAACTTCAACTGGTGAGTCTAATATTCTTTTGCAAGTGTGCCAATATTATTTATACCATTTTTTACACTAATGCAGTAGTCTGCATAACAGTAAATCTTCTATTTTTTGTGAGAATAAAAATTCAAAGTGGAAAGCAAAAGAATATAAGAGGGGCCTTGGGACATGACTAATGAACAGAGGAAATGTCATTTTAGTGCCAGGAATGTCTTTCTTGTTTATTCTGGACCCTATTTGGAAATTGGCATCTTTTGAAATTTGTGTGAAATTGGCAAAATTGCTAAATTCTGACCACTGTACTGGATAGTTGAAATTGGTAAATGGGTGGTTTCTTGCACTCATTCAATAGAAAAAATGGAGTTCTAGCAAAATATTCATGTTTTTTGTCGACTAGTACAGTGGAATTGGCCGAAAATAGGGGTCAAAGTGGGCAAAATCGCCGATGCGTAAACATCGCCGAGACCGCTAACTTCGCAAGAGCATAATTCCGTAAGTTTTCCATCAAATTTCATACTTTTGGTGTCATTATGATCGGGAAAAGATTCTCTATCTTTTCATAAGAAAAAATTATTTTTTTTTTTTTTAAATTTGGCCGACCCTGAGAACGAGTCTCGGAGAGGGCCTGTCGACTCTCAATGGGTTAAATGTAATATAAAAATTTATGTTTTTTATTTATATTAATATTGTTTTGGTATTACAGGAGGGCCCTGCTTATATAGCAGGTTAGGTTCTGGGCTACTGTTGTAAAGTGGAACATTACCTTTTTTCAATTTCAAATGCATGTAAAATCCTGATAACATGTTTACACTATCATATATTAAGTGAGCAATAGAGCCAGGCCTAAAAAATGCATATACAGTACACACATTGCTTACCTTAAAATATTTTCTTCCTTAGCCTATAGGAAGTCTGAACAAATGAAAAACAAGTTAAATTAAAAACTTCTGCTTAGCAAAATGCTGAAAAATGAAGGGCTGTAAAGTGGGGCTCCCTGTTTTTTGCCATATAAAAAACATTGATTTTTGCTTTGAAATTTGTCTTCCAGAAAAACTCGGGAAATACTGGCAATGTCACAAAAGGTGCCCCTTTAAAACAGGGAAGCACCTGTGGTTGTTGATAATTTGGGGATAATGGCTGGGCTCTTACTAGGAACCGGGTGATCACACAACCTTTTACTGACCAAGGTAAAGCTTGATCTAAGTGTTTAAAATTTGAGAGCTCAGTCTACTTTGTGCTGCAGTGAGAATGTTGTATGTGGAAAATTTTAAATTTAATGTGTTTTTGGTTTTTTTGGTTGAAAATTTTATTATATCAACTTTTTTTTTGTTGCAGTGCTTGATTGTTGTTCATTTTGTTTATTTTATATAAAAAATGATATGTGATAGCATGAATATTTTTTTAAAAAGTTAAATTTTTTAGTGAGTATAGGGGAAAATTGCATTAATTTTTTTTTTTGTGTGGTGTGTGTGTATTTTAGGCCTATTTTTGAATTAGTGGAGAACATTCTCTTCGGGCACATTTAAAGACTCCTTCATTGTAGTGAACACTAGAGCTGTCTCCATTTTATTACTAACACAAGGAAAAAAGCCACATTAATGGGTAAGTTTTGTAAAACAAATTTTATCTTAAATATTCTGTTGTATTGTTATGTTAATAAGCAAGAGGGGCATATCCTTTTCTTTGGTGTCCGTTTTTGTTAAAATTTAAATCTTTATTTTTTAAAGACTTGGGTGACCAGTGATGCCTAGGGCCCTCACAGGGAAAATATGTCTTTGGGGGGCCGGGGTCATCACAAAAATTTTTGCCTGATATGAGAAATGGGTCTGCACGTGAGTGTGCACAATATAAAAAAACCCTTTTGCCCCACGCTTGCATGATGAAAAAAAAAAGCAAATTGCCCACATGTTTGGTTTAAAATAGCCATTTTGAGGTATTTTCTTGTTTTTTTAGGGTTTTTTGACTGTTTTTGATAAAAAATTATAAAATGATAGACACACTAGTAAAGTGAGATGATTTGGTTGGTTGTCAGGACCAAAAAAGTAGTTTGAAATGAGCTGAAAGTAAAAGATATTAAATTTTTGTTAATTTTCATGACGGGAAAACCCTCCCTACACCCTGGTTGTTTTGGGGTTTTTAAATGGTTTGATTCAATTTTGGGTCCTAAACTGCCCATTCATTCGGGTTATATTTTATTTTTTTGGAAATAGAGTAAAGCTATTTTTTGTGGTTTTATGAATTAAAATGGAAGGAAAGTGTAACAGAGGAGGGGCCCCTGGGGATAGGGAAAATAAAACAGGGGAAATGTTGTTTTAGTCCCGGAATAATCTACATTGTTTTTTTTGCACTGTTTTTAAATTGGCTTCATTTTAAATTTGTGAAAAATTGGGCCCAAAATAACTGTTTCTTTGCATTTATAGCATGTTTGATTTGAATTTTGCGTTTCATGTGCTCCCCCAATAGGACAAAAGGGCCCCATATGAAAAATGTAAGAATTTTGTTTGAAAGGGGCAATGGAATTCACTTAAAATAGGAAATTAAAGTTGGCAAAGCCAATGATAAATAAATTTCCCCCTGACCACTAACTTTTCCCCTGATATTCCCTCAATTTTCCTTCAGTTTTTACTTTATTTTTTTTTTATTTTTTTTCACACTGGGCCCATTCCCCCCAAGGGAGGGTGCCCCAAAAAAAAAAAATTTCACCATTTCCCCCATCACGTCTTGCCCGAAGGGTGCTTTCCTAAAGTTTTTAAAAACTGCAACATTAAAACCCCCCCTTTAGGTGCAGGCACTTATTCCCATCTCCAGGACTCAAGCCGGCCTGCCGGTTTCCTGAATCCCTTCATAAATGTTTCTTTGCTCCCATCCAAAAAGCAGTAAGTATTAAAAACCATTTGTCTCCATTCATCCCTTTAAACAGCTCAGCATGTGCTGGAAGTCCAAGCCCCCCGAACAAAAAACCCCTTTACCCCCCCCCTCCAAAACCCCCTTTCCCAGGCCGCCCCCCCCCGCCCCTTTCCCTTTCCCCTACAGATATACACTTTGAAGTTTTTTGTTTTGCTCATTCTTCTACATGTCCGAACTCCCAACAAACCCCTTTCCCCAGCCCCCTTTGGGAAAAAGTTTTGGTATCCCGCACCCCCTCCCAACTTTAAATTCGAATTCTCTGATTTTTATTCACCCCCACATTGCCCCCAGCAGACTCTCCACTGCCTCCCGCCTTCTCTGCTGAACATTCTCACCCCTGCTTAACCCAATAAAAGGGGTTGGTAAAACTATACTTATACTTCCCCCCTTTGCCCAAGGACAAAATTCTCTGTCTCACAGTCCAAGTGCACCATCATCTTTTTCCCTCATCAATTCTTGATTCACCTCTCTTTCATAGACCCATCCCTGAACATCCCCCTCCCAAAAAAAATTTAATACGTTCCCTCCTCCATACTCTCTCCCTCCAATCGATATTCAATTTTCATCCCTAATTTTTTGTTTCCTCATAACCTTACTCTTTCCTGTATTCACCTTTAATTTTTTTCTTTTGCACACCTACCAATCATCCACCCTCTCTGCGTTCTCTTCAGAATCTCCCAAGGACAGTGTCTTTAGCAAAAAGCAGCTGTCAATCCCCCCCCTGTGTGTGATTTTTTATCTTTTAACTCCCGCCCTTTGCCAAAACCCTCGCATTTTTTTCTCTTACAACCCATCTATAAATATATTAAACAACCCTGACATCAAAAAATCCCTTTTCAGAAAATGATTTACCTTTTAAAAAGTTTTCTTTTTTTTAAAAGGACACTGGAAGCCATATTTTTTTTTTTTTTTTTTTGGGGGGGAGGGGGGTCGGACAGTGAAAGGGTTTTTTAAAAAACTTCACCCAAAATAAACACTAAGAACAGTTAACCCTTTGGGTTTCGGCCGTATAGTCGGTTTAGCACCGGGTTTTTTTTAACTAGGGGCGCCTAAAATTTTAGCGCCTCAAATCTAGTGAGAGGGGAAAATGGTTGGCCCACATATGAAAAAAATGGGTCTTGTGGTCAGTGTGCGGGTATAAAAAAAAACCCGCACCCGTGGTAAAGAGAAAAAAAAAAAACTTTGACCGTGTTTTTGGATTAAAACGCGACTTTGCACTGTATTTTCGTATGGTTTTATTGTTGTATTCTAGTTTTCCGGGGTTTATTTTTGAATGGAAGATTTAAGAAATTGAGTGATTTTTGACTGGTTTTTTTAAGAAAAATACCTTGAAATTGCGCTCAAAGTAGCAAAATGTTCGATTTTTACCAAAGTTCAAAAGTAAACAAATCATGCTTGCGTCCAATAAAAGTCAACTGGTGAGTCTAATATTCTTTCACAAGTGGCTGATAATATTTATACCATTTACACCCTTTCAGTGTTGCCCTAACGTAAAATTTTATTTTTTTGTGAGAATAAAAATTCAAAGTGGGGAAACAAAAAGAATTTAAAGGGGGCATGGGGACGTGACTAAGAAAGAGGAAATGTTATTTTAGTGCCAGGATGTCTTTCTTGTTTATTCGCACCCCATTCAGAAATTGGCATCTTTTGAAATTTGTGTGAATTGGCAAAAATTTTAAATTCTGACCACTGTATTGGATAGTTGAAATCAGTAAATGGGTGGTTTCTTGTACTCATTTGATAGAAAAGATAGAGTTCTAACAAAATAGTTATGATTTTTGTCAACAAGTACAGTGGAATTGGCCGAAAATAGGGGTCAAAGTGGGCAAAATCACCAATGCGTAAACATCGTCGAGACCGCTAACTTCGCGAGAGCATAATTCTGTAAGTTTTCCATCAAATTTCATACTTTTGGTGTCATTATGATAGGGAAAAGATTCTCTATCTTTTCATAAGAAAAAAATAATTTTTTTTTTTTTTTTGAAATTTGGCCGACCCTGAGAACGAGTCTCTGAGAGGGCCTGTCGACCATGAAAGGGTTAAGTATGGCAAAGGTATGGCATCAGGCTAGTTCCTGAGAAAGAGACTTCACCTGTAAGACACACTGGAAGAACTTAATTTCACATTACTTGAAAAAACAAGATCGAGATAGAACAAAGTCACAACATCCAAGATATAGATCAGATATATGTTTGTCACTGAGTGATCCAAGAATGGTGCCTTTGTATCCCATAACCCTAGCCTCTTGTACTTCAGTCCTTAAAGCAGACATAGTAGGTGAACTTCAGACTCTGATGAGGCAGAGGAGCTACAGCTAAACTTCCTCACCAAACCTTGGATCATTACCTAAACCCTCCCAAGAAGTTCAGGAGCTGGACATCAACACCTTTAACCCCTTGACTGTTGCTACCCCAAATCCTGAGGTGTCTCCTGGTGTCGCAAAATTTCAAAAAAAAAAAAAAAAGAAAAATGATTTTTCTTATGAAATGATAGAGAATCTTTTCCTGATTGTAATGACACCAAAAGAATGAAATTTGATGGAAAACTAACGGAATTACGCTCTCGCAAAGTTAGCGACCTCGGTGATATTTACGAATCGGCAATTTCGCCCACTTTGAGCCCTATTTTCGGCTAATTCCATTGTTCCAGTCGACCAAACTCATAGCTATTTCTTTAGAACTCCATTTTTTCTATCAATTGAGTACAATAAACTGCCCATTTACCGATTTCAACTACTCAATAATGTGGTCAGAGATTTGCAAGTTGGCCAATTTCACGAAAATTAAAAAATATGACAATTTCAAAATAGGGTTTAGAATGAACAATGCAGACATTCCTGGCTCAAAAATAACATTTTCTTTGTTCATCAGTCACGTCTCCAGGCCCCTCTGATATTACTCTTGATTTCTATTTTGAATTTTTATTCGAACAAAAAATAGAGGATTTACTGTTATGCAGACTACTGCAATATTGTAATAATTGTATAAATAATGCCAATCCATTCATGACTGCATATTAGAAAGGCTACTTGGACATTTATTGGAAAATGATGTCATTTGTTTACTTTTGAACATCGGCAAAAATCAAACATTTCCCCTACTTTGAGCTCCATTTCAAGGTTCTTTTCATAGTAAAACCAATCAGAATCACCTCTATTTCTATAATATGTTTTCCATTCTATCAAATGAGACCAAGAAAACAAGAATACTACCATAAATACTATACGAAAATAGACCACAAATTTGGCATTTTAATTAAAAAACAACGGTTGGAATTTTTTTTTCTCATTATGCACTGCCTGCTGCAGGATTTTTTTTATATGGTGCACACTGACCACACAGACCCATTCTCTCACATGTGGGCCTACCAGCTTTCTCCTGCTTGATTTGAAGCCGCTAGAATTTATGAGTATATATACATCAAAAACGGTGGCTCATAAGACGTATATTTACGACCAAAACAGTCAAAGGGTTAAGAGACCCAAAAGTTTTAGCTCAACACACTTAAGAAATCTAGCACCTCTTACATCCTCAAAAGGCCTAGGAGTTATAGATCACCCATAAGAGAGCCATGAACCATAATAATATCAACATTCCTTTCAGTAATTAAAAGGACTCAAATGCAACTAATGTGACATTTTACTGTGGCAATGTTTCGCTATCCAGGAACTTTATCAAGCCATTACAAACAATACACGGACACAGAGGGTACATATAGGCTTAGAGTGAGGTGTAATAATAATAATGAGTAGTAATAATATTAGTTGTAGTAGTATTAGTAATACAGTATGGTAGAACAATCAACTTGTGGCTTGATAAAGCTCCTGGAGAGTGAAATGTTGCCACAATAAAATGCCTCATTAGTTGCATTTGTGTCCTTTTACTAAACATATTGTCAGTAATACCACCAATATTAATACTTTCAGTAATTACTTATATCAGCATTGAAGGTTGAAGCCGATTTGTAGAGGCGCTGAAAAGTTATTGCAAGGGAACCAACATCACAGTTTCTTCAGTAAAATTGTCAAACTGCCACTTATATGGTCCACAAACATTGCAAACCATCCTCTGGAAAAAAATTCTCTAGCATTCAACATTTAAAACTGATCAGAAGAGACATTCTTTATTATGTGGAAAAAAGTGACCTAAAATTTTTTAATTCAAATGGCTAAATTAACACCTACATGCTTCACAGAAACTAATTTGTTTAATAAAAATAGCAAGTAGAAATTTTTGCAACCCAAAATTAGGGCAAACCTTCCTCTGAGAAAAAACACTCCAACACTAAAAGTTTGAAGCCAGCTAGAGGCAACTTGCTCTAGTTATTGCTTGGAATTAAGCAGTTCCAGTTTTACTGTGTTAGTAAATTGGCAAATTTGCTTCTATACAGCCTGAACATAGAGGGAACCCTATTGTGTTGTCACTGAGATGTATCTGTCATTAAAGATTGAAGTCGTTCAGAAAAGGCATACTGTGCTTAAGTTATTTCAAGTAAAAAAAAAATACCACACCATTTTAAAAACAAAATTGACAGATTTGTGCTAAACACTCCAATAAGAATGTCAACCTTCTTGTAAGTATGATACACCAGTGTTGAAAGTGTGAAGCTGATCTGATCAGAGGAGGCTCTCTGAAATTACCACATGGAAACTGAAACCTCTTGTCAACCTTGTTCATAAAATTGACAAGATGGCACCAGAGCATGTCAATAGTTGCATGACCCTTTTCCTAGCTACAGTACACCAGCATTGGAAATTTGAAGCTGTTTGGATCAGGCATCTGCAGCTTATAAATAAATATACTGAAGGATGAATAAAAGTACTCCTTTGAGAATACCTAGTGAATTTCCATTTGGTAATTTTGTATATTTTATAAAATATTTTTTCCTGAATAAGGGAGAATATTCCCAAATATGACTGAAAAGAAACAAATCACTATCCTAATTTGTATTTTGTCAAGAGAAATATTGTTTGATGATTATTTTAGGCTATGTTTTATTTCCTTATCCTTATTTATTAAATCATATAAATATTATAATTCTCTTAATGTATTTTCCAGTGAATGTGGAGAATGAGAAAGGGATTATTGTTAGTGACACAATGACTCTTGTAAAAATGGCAAAACCAGCTTGGAGGGCTGTGCAGTTACCTTTCTACCAATACTTTGGAAAGAGCTTGAAGGTATTTATTTAATATTTATATAGTTCATTTTATTAAATGATTGTACAGTACTACATGCATACAGGTATATCATGATAATGTTCACTATTCAGTCTCTTATAACAAAGGAAAAAATTTAATTTGGATGCCAAATGGGCTTTCTTAATATTAAAATGTTCACAAAAGTATTCTGTGTAGCATATGACTTTTTTTAAAGAAAACTTATGCATAAGTATAAAGACCATACCTGAAATGATAAAGAAAAATTGGGTATCAAATTGCGGAGGAGGAGTATGGAAGACGTGTCGGCGGATGGATTTGCGAAGGATGAGGTTAATCATAGAATTGATGAGGGAAAAAAGGTGAGTGGTGTGTTGAGGTATATGTGGAGTCAAAAAAACGTTATCTATGGAGGCAAAGAAGGGAATGTATGAAAGTATAGTGGTACCAACACTCTTACATGGGTGTGAAGCTTGGGTTGTGAATGCAGTAGCGAGGAGGCGGTTGGAGGCAGTGGAGATGTCCTGTCTAAGGGCAATGTGTGGTGTAAATATTATGCAGAAAATTTGGAGTGTGAAAATTAGGAGAAGGTGTGGAGTTAATAAAAGTATTAGTCAGAGGGCTGAAGAGGGGTTGTTGAGATGGTTTGGTCATTTAGAGAGAATGGATCAAAGTAGAATGACATGGAGAGCATTTAAATCTGTAGGAGAAGGAAGGTGGGGTAGGGGTCGTCCTTGAAAAGGTTGGAAGGAAGGGGTAAGGGAGGTTTTGTGGGCGAGGGGCTTGGAATTCCAGCAGGCATGCATGAGCGTGTTCGAAAGGAGTGAATGGAGACGAATGGTATTTGTGACCTGACGATCTGTTGGAGTGTGACCAGGGTAATATTTAGTGAAGGGATTCAGGGAAACCGGTTATTTTCATATAGCCGGACTTGAGTCCTGGAAATGGGAAGTACAATGCCTGCACTCTAAAGAGTGGTTCAGGATATTAGCAGTTTGGAGGGATATGTTGTGTATCTTTATACATATATGCTTCTAAACTGTTGTGTTCTGAGCACCTCTGCAGAAACAGTGATTATGTGTGAGTGAGGTGAAAGTGTTGAATGATGATGAAAATATTTTCTTTTTGGGGATTTTCTTTGTTTTTGGGTCACCTTGCCTCGGTGGGAGACGGCCGACTTGTTGAAAAAAAAAAAAAACCCTGAAATGATGAGGTAAAGTTGTTCTGAAAGTTCTTGTGGTGGGGGTGGTGATGTTGAAGTAAAAAATGATTTTCCTGGAGGAGCTTGCAAAATACTGTTCTTCTTCTTTCAACAAACTGGTCATATCCCACCAAGACAGGGTGACCCCCCCCCCAAAAAAAAAAAAAAGTTTCTCTTTTTAACTTTAGTAATGTATACAGGAGAAGGGGTTACTAGCCCCCTTGCTCCCATCATTTTAGTCACCTCTTACGACAAAATACTGTTGCTTTGTATAATAAATCTTGAACCAAGGCTTTATCTCAGCTGCTTAAGGTTGTTGATGTTAGATTTTCAAGGGCCACAAGAGCTTACATTGTTTATAGCTATGCTTCATGTTATCTAGGGAAGAATTACTGGTTAAATCTGGGCAGTGGTAGGGAAGGGAAAAAGAGCTTTCCCTGGAAATAGAAAAGAGAATAAGCCTTCTTGTCATTAATGTTTATAACACCACCAAGGCTGAAATCCAGTGAATGGCAAATTAACTACAGACACCACTACATTTTATAGTGGTTCCCACATGAGATATTTCTTGTGGGCTATTATTAGTAAATGAAATAATGCAGTCCAAAATATGACAGCAGGAATTGTTGTGCCCTGAGTACCATAGGATATCTCAGTAATAGTGCTGTAACTATTACGTACTGGTGTATTGTTATTGCAGGTGGTCTTTACAGGAGAAGTAGGACCAGGTACAGACAATGTAATTGCTTTGGATGACTTAACTCTATCACAAGAAGATTGCACTTGGGGAGCCTCTGCAAAATTGTGCTTTGACAATGACACTTCCTGCTTTTGGACAAACAGTGATACTGGACTTCAGTGGTTTGCATCTGATGGATTCAGTAAACATACTTTGAATGGTCCATATAGTGACCATAATGTTTATGGTAAGCAAATTACTAATGATTTTTTCATATTTCTAAGGATTTAATGTAAATTATATAAGGCCCTTGATTTGTATTAGGGGCTGTGAGTATAAGAAAAAACTCCGGACTGGTTACTGGTACAGCATGTATGTAACTAAATATCAGAGGTAATGAATTCAAGTTGAACAGGAATTATGCTAATCGTTTACAGTACTGACAAGTTGATGAATAAGATGCATGTGCAACACTTAGGTTTTTATATCGTCAAATGTTTCACCTGTGCAACAGGTTTCTTCAGTCAAATACACAAGAATATTATAGCACTTATATTGTCTCCAATGTTGTATTCAACTTAAGAAGCCTGTTATGCAGGTGAAGCATTTTGACAGTATAGATACAGTACCTAAGTTTTGCACTTTCTGGATGTTGTCATTCCTAGTATGACCCTTACCCATTCCTTCATAATGTCCCAGATTTAGATACCCTCAGCCTTTTATGGTCAGCATGTTATGCTCCATCCTTTCTAAATGACTGAACCATCCTAGTAACCCCTCATCTGACTGCTGAATTATAGCTTTCATACCCCCCACATCTAATTATTGCACTTCTAATTTTTTTTTCAACAAGTCGGCCGTCTCCCACCGAGGCAGGGTGACCCAAAAAAGAAAGAAAATCCCCAAAAAGAAAATACTTTCATCATCATTCAACACTTTCACCACACTCACACATTATCACTGTTTTTGCAGAGGTGCTCAGAATACAACAGTTTAGAAGCATATACATATAAAGATACACAACATATCCCTCCAAACTGCCAATATCCCAAACCCCTCCTTTAACCCTTTCAGGGTCCAAGGCCCAAATCTGGAGTCACACACCAGTGTCCAAGAATTTTAAAAAAAAAAAATTTGTTATTTTTTCTTATGAAATCGTAGAGAATCTTTTTGTGAAGGTAATAAAACAAAAAGTACGAAATTTGGTGGAAAATTGACGAAATTATGCTCTCGCGAATTTTGATGTGTCAGCGATATTTACGAATCAGCGATTTTGCCGACTTTGACTCCCATTTTAGGCCAATTACATTATTCCAATCAACCAAATTCTTAGCTATTTCACTAGTATTACTTCTATTCTATCGATTGAGCACAAGAAATCGCCAAGTCAACTGTTTCAACTACAAAATAAAGTGATCGGAAATTGTTAATTTGGCCAATTTAACACAAAGTTCAAAATATTCCAATTTCAAAATAGGGTCCAGAATGAACAATGTAGGCATTCCTGGCACTAAACTAACATTTCCTCTGTTCATTAGTTATGTTTTGAGGCTTTACAAATAAATTCCCATTTTGATTTTTTATTCACATAATGAATTTTTATTCACAACCAAAAAATAGAAGATTTACTGTTATGCAGTACTGTAATAATTATATAAATATCATCACCATATTTGTGAATGTATATTAGACCCACCAGCTGACATGTATTAGACATGTGAGGTCGTTTGTTTACTCTTGAATATCGGCAAAAATTTAACATTTCCGCTACTTTGAGCTCAGTTTCAAGCCATTTCCAATGCTAAAACCAATCAAAATCATCTCTATTTCTGTAATATGTCTTCCATTCTATCAAATGAGACCAAGAAATCGCAAATACAACTATAAAAAACATACGAAAAAACACTGCAAAGTTGCTGTTTTAATCGAAAAATCATGATTTCATTTTTTTTCTCTCATTATACACAGTGTGCTGCAGGATCTGTTTTATGTGGTGCACACATACCACATAGATGTATTCTCTCATATCTAGGCCCAAATGTACCACTCACAGTTTATCAGAGTGAGCTGAGCTCATGGCGTAGATCTACGGTTTGGACCCTGAACGTAAAGCCGTAGATCTACGGGACGGACCCTGAAAGGGTTCAAGTGCAGGCATTGTACTTCCCATTTCCAGGACTCAAGTCCGACTATATGAAAATAACCGGTTTCCCTGAATCCCTTCACTAAATATTACCCTGCTCACACTCCAACAGATCGTCAGGTCCCAAGTACCATTCGTCTCCATTCACTCCTATCTAACACGCTCACGCACGCTTGCTGGAAGTCCAAGCCCTTTGCCCACAAAACCTCCTTTACCCCCTCTCTCCAACCCTTTCGAGGACGACCCCTACCCCGCCTTCCTTCCCCTATAGATTTATATGCTTTCCATGTCATTCTACTTTGATCCATTCTCTCTAAATGACCAAACCACCTCAACAACCCCTCTTCTGCCCTCTGACTAATACTTTTATTAACTCCACACCTTTTCCTAATTTCCACACTCCGAAATTTCTGCATAATATTTACACCACACATTGCAATGAGACAGGACATCTCCACTGCCTCCAACCGTCCCCTCGCTGCTGCATTTACCACCCAAGCTTCACACCCATATGAGAGTGTTGGTACCACTATACTTTCATACATTCCCTTCTTTGCCTCCATAGATAATGTTTTTTGACTCCATATATACCTCAATGCACCACTCACCTTTTTTCCCTCATCAATTCTATGATTAACCTCATCCTTCATAAATCCATCCGCTGACACGTCAACTCCCAAGTATCTGAAAACATTCACTTCTTCCATACTCCTCCTCCCCAATTTGATATCCAATTTTTCTTTATCTAAATCATTTGATACCCTCATCACCTTACGCTTTTCTATGTTCACTTTCAACTTTCTACCTTTACACACATTGTCAAACTCATCCACTAACCTTTGCAATTTTTCTTTAGAATCTCCCATAAGCACAGTATCATCAGCAAAAAGTAACTGTGTTAATTCCCATTTTGAATTTGATTCCCCATAATTTAATCCCACCCCTCTCCCAAACACCCTAGCATTTACTTCCTTTACAACCCCATCTATAACTATATTAAACAACCATGGTGACATTACACATCCCTGTCTAAGACCTACTTTTACCAGAAAATAGTCTCCCTCTCTTCTACACACCCTAACCTGAGCCTCATTATCCTCATAAAAACTCTTTACAGCATTTAATAACTTACCACCTATTCCATATACTTGTAACATCTGCCACATTGCTCTCCTATCCACTCTATCATATGCCTTTTCTAAATCCATAAATGCAATAAAAACTTCCCTACCTTTATCTAAATACTGTTCACATATATGCTTCAATGTAAACACTTGATCTACACATCCCCTACCCACTCTGAAACCTCCTTGCTCATCCGCAATCCTACATTCTGTCTTACCTCTAATTCTTTCAATTATAACCCTACAGTAAACTTTTCCTGGTATACTCAGTAAACTTATTCCTCTATAATTTTTACAATCTCTTTTGTCCCCTTTCCCTTTATATAAAGGAACTATACATGCTCTCCGCCAATCCCTAGGTACCTTCCCCTCTTTCATACATTTATTAAACAAAAGTACCAACCACTCCAACACTATATCCCCCCCTGCTTTTAACATTTCTGTCATGATCCCATCAGTCCCAGCTGCTTTACCCCCTTTCATTCTACGTAATGCCTCACGTACCTCCCCCACACTTACATTCTGCTCTTTTTCACTCCTAAAAGATGGTATACCTCCCTGACCAGTGCATGAAATTACCGCCTCTCTTTCTTCCTCAACATATAAAAGTTCCTCAAAATATTCTCGCCATCTACCTAATACCTCCATCTCCCCATCTACTAACTCTCCTACTCTGTTTTTAACTGACAAATCCATACTTTCCCTAGGCTTTCTTAACTTGTTTAACTCACTCCAAAATTTTTTCTTATTTTCATTAAAATTTCTTGACAGTGCCTCTCCCACTCTATCATCTGCTCTCCTTTTGCACTCTCTCACCACTCTCTTTACCTTTCTTTTACTCTCCATATACTCTGCTCTTCTTATAACACTTCTGCTTTGTAAAAACCTCTCATAAGCTACCTTTTTCTCTTTTATCACACCCTTTACTTTATCATTTCACCAATCACTCCTCTTTCCTCCTGCCCCCACCCTCCTATAACCACAAACTTCTGCCCCACATTCTAATACTGCATTTTTAAAACTATTCCAACCCTCTTCAACCCCCTCACTACTCATCTTTGCACTAGCCCACCTTTCTGCCAATAGTCGCTTATATCTCACCCCAACTTCCTCCTCCCTTAGTTATACACTTTCACCTCCCTCTTACTTGTTGTTGCCACCTTCCTCTTTTCCCATCTACCTCTTACTCTAACTGTAGCTACAACTAAATAATGATCTGATATATCAGTTACCCCTCTATAAACATGTACATCCTGGAGCCTACCCATCAACCTTTTATCCACCAATACATAATCTAATAAACTACAGTGGACCCCCGGTTAACGATTTTAATCCGTGCAAGAGGGGTAATTGTTATGCGAAATAATCGTTATGTGAATGAATTTTCCCCATAAGAAATAATGGAAATAAAATTAATCCGTGCAAGACACCCAAAAGTATGAAAAAAAAAATTTTTTACCACATGAAATATTAATTTTAATACACACAAACTGAAAAAGGCATGCACACTTACATGACACTTACTTTTATTGAAGATCTGGTGATGATTGATGGGATGGGAGGAGGGGAGAGCATTATCTTCTTACTGTTTAGAAGGGGAATCCCCTTCCATTACGACTTGAGGTAGCAAGTCCTTTTCCGGGGTTACTTCCCTTCTTCTTTTAATGCCACTAGGACCAGCTTGAGAGTCACTGGACCTCTGTCGCACAACAAATCTGTCCATAGAGCTCTGTACCTCCCGTTCCTTTACGATTTGTCTAAAATGGGCCACAACATTGTCATTGAAATAGTCACCAGCACGGCTTGCAACAGCTGTGTCAGGGTGATTTTCATCCATAAAGGTTTGCAGTTCAACCCACTGTGCACACATTTCCTTAATCTTTGAAGTAGGCACAATGGATTCCACAACTGGCATAGGCTTCTCAGGGTTAGCCCCAAACCCTTCAAAATCTTTCTTAATTTCCATACTAATTCTCACCCTTTTTACCACAGGGTTGGCACTAGAAGCTTTCTTGGGGCCCATGGTCACTTATTTTCCAGAAACAGCACCGAAAACACTGTAATAATACGAAATATTCCGAGTGTATGCTTGGATGTTACCGCGGAGGCTGGCTGGTAAACAATGGGACGGGCGGCACATGTGAGGCTGGCTGAGGGCACATTGGACGCGTCTCGGACGAAAATCGGTGAGCGGGTTTTTAATCGGTATGCGCGGCAAAAATTTTGCGATAAAAGTAAGCGGTATGCGGAAAAATCGCTATGTGATGCCATCGTTATGCGGGGGTCCACTGTACTTTCATTACGTGCTACATCATACCTTGTATATTTATTTATCCCCTTTTTCATAAAATATGTATTATTTATTACCAAATCTCTTTCTACACATAGCTCAGTTAAAGGCTCCCCATTTTCATTTACCCCTGGCACCCCAAATTTACCTACTACTCCCTCCATAACATTTTTACCCACTTTAGCATTGAAATCCCCAACCACCATTACTCTCACACTTGATTCAAAACTCTCCACGCATTCACTCAACATTTCCCAAAATCTCTCTCTCTCTCCTCTACACTTCTCTCTTCCCAGGTGCATACATGCTTATTATAACCCACTTTTCACATCCAATCTTTATTTTTACTCCACATAATCCTTGAATTAATACATTTATAGCCCCTCTTTTCCTGCCATAGCTTATCCTTCAACATTATTGCTACTCCTTCTTTAGCTCTAACTCTATTTGAAACCCCTGACTTAATCCCATTTATTCCTCTCCATTGAAACTCTCCCACCCCCTTCAGCTTTGTTTCACTTAAAGCCAGGACATCCAACTTCTTCTCATTCATAACATCCACAATCATCTCTTTCTTATCATTTGCACAACATCCATGCACATTCAGACTTCCCACTTTGACAATTTTCTTCTTCTTATTCTAATTCTCTGCATAATATTCAGACATGATAGCCCTACTTTCTCCAGCCTCTTCCTCACAGCAGTGTATAAGTATTATCATGCACTGTATTTAGTTGGAAATTTTCAGAGAAATGAGTTAGTACCTTTCAAAAAAATCTTATTTTTAAATAAGATGCTTAGGAATTGCACTTCTATTATTTTTTATTATTGCTTGCATGAGTAAGATTCATAGTTTCTCCTTCAATTCCCCAGACCACTATGTCATATTTGAGACTGGACCCCATCACTCTCCTGGATCTGTCGCTCGCCTAACTAGTTCAACTTTTCCTATGAATGAATATTCACATTTTGTGTGCTTTTCATTCACTTTTTCAGTAAGTAAAAATTATGTGGTTATTATAAATATTATAGTATATAGAAAAATTTTCAATCTAATTTTTCTTATATGTATTGTCATTACACATCTTCATATTAATATTGTACTGCTTATATTATTTAAACAATTCTGTAGATCTTTGTTATTTTTATATGAAGGCTTGCTCTGAACATGCTGGGGTGATATCAGTGATAATATCAGACATAGCCCAAGATACCGAGACTGTAATATGGCGGATACCAATCACCCGTCAGTATGCAGACTGTCTCTGGCAACAAGGTCAAGCTTCTATTAAGGTAGACCTCTTACACACATTTTCACTATAGTTGGGATGTAATAATGATTTAATATTAAGAAGGTTTCATACTTTGAATTTTTTTCTTAATATTTTGTACTGTTTCTAGAAAGGGGAAATAATGAGTTAGTTGACCTTATGATTCCCCTAGATGCAAAGAAAATCTAAAAGTTTTATTTGTTTCTTCTTGCTGTTGTATTTAACAATGAGAAAATGCATTGATAAATGGTAAGATATCTAGGTTAGTTGATTACATTGCAGGATCCTCCAGAGAACTTCCTGCTGATTATTCAGGCTGAGTCCTGGGATGGCAGGGAAGGTTACATTGCAGTCAGACATCCTGTTCTGGAGGCACATGTACTACAATATTGTGCAAGTGAGTCACTAAATAAGTGTAAAGTATTTTTTATATTTTCTTATTTTATGTGCAATTATTGTTGTGAAAGTGAATGATCTTTAATATAAAATGGGAAACTTATTGTTTTATCAATATAAAATTTAAGTAATGTCCCATTTTCATTTATTAAGTATGCTTTCATTACAATACCAATATACAGTGGACCCCCGGTTAACGATATTTTTTCACTCCAGAAGTATGTTCAGGTGCCAGTACTGACCGAATTTGTTCCCATAAGAAATATTGTGAAGTAGATTAGTCCATTTCAGACCCCCAAACATACACGTACAAACGCACTTACATAAATACACTTACATAATTGGTCGCATTCGGAGGTAACCGTTATGCGGGGGTCCACTGTACTCTATCTCCTTGTATTTGGGACTCATACAAAGAGCAAGCCAAATAAAACCATTAAACTTGAAAAGCACATAAATGTATTATGTAATGAATTTTTTCAGCTCTGCCTGAAGATGCTGTACCAAAGGAAATGTTTATCATGCCAATTTTATCCACTGCACCACCACCTTACACTGATGATTTGGTTGTTGGGTGTGACTTTGAAGATGCTAGTCACCCTATATGTCAATTCAAGCAGGATGTGGGTGAAGGTGTTGGAACCTGGGCACGAGTGGCTGCTTACAATCCACCATCAACCAATCACCCTGTGTTTGATCACACTTTTCATAACAGTAAGTTATAGCCATTGCAATAAATTCATATGCAGTAGTACCTCGGTACTCGAACTTAATTCGTTCCAGAAGGCTGTTCGAGTGCCGATCTGTTCGAGTACCAAACAAATTTTTCCCAAATAATTTTCTTTTTGCTTGGCTGTTATCACTAATCTTCTTAAGCCCCTTGGTGACTTATTTACATGGATAATATAAAAAAAATGCAAAGAAACATGAAATAGTTTACAGCGAAGTTCTGGCAGGTTGTGTTTGTTTGGTCGAGTGCCGAACAAACGGTCGACTACCAAGCAATTTTTTTACCGAAGCATTTGAATACTGAATTGTTTGAGTATGGAGCTGTTCGAGTATCGAGGTACTACTGTATATATTAGCTGGGCCGGTTAGCTGGACTTGAGTCCTGGACTTCTATTCCTTCTCTGGGATCCACTTCAGCAGTTGAAGACGATTCCAGAAGGGAGCGAAATATACAGAGCAGTTAATTTCCTGAGCTTGTCTCAGTAAGAACCCACATGGAGACAAGTTCAGGAAATTAATTGCTCTGTATATTTTGCTCCTTTCTGGAATCGTCTTCAACTGCTGAAGTGGCTCCCAGAGAAGGAATAGAAATCCTCAGGTTGTTATTCAACTCTATATATCCTTGGTTAGGCCTCATTTAGATTATGCTGCACAGTTCCCATCACCATATTACAGAATGGATATAAATGCACAGGTGGGAAGTACAATTACTACACTTTAAAGGAGGGGCTTGGGATATTGGCTGTTAGGAGTGACATCTAAACTGTCATATCTGGGCACCTCTGCAAAGATAGTGATTATGTGTGAATGATGGTGACAGTGTTGAATGATGGTGAAAGTGTTTCTTTTTTGGGTCACTCTGCTTCGGTGGGAGACAGCTGGCATGTTAAAAAAAGAATCTTAGCTGGACTTGAGTCGTGAAGGTGGGAAGTACAGTGTCTGCACTCTGATAACTTTTGTAAGTCACAGATCTGCAAATGTATGTCATGAATAATGCCATAATACTATACACAGACTGGTTCCAGGTGCCAAGCTCTTGGATGATACCATAATGTTATTCAAATAAGCAGAAAAACTTGTTAGCTTTTTGGTGAATGTATACGTATGCAATGATCAGGATCTTTCAGTATGTATTTTATTTATTAGGTTCTGGCCACTACATTGCTGCCTTACGTCAAGCAAGCGATGGAATGAAAAGCAGTGAAATAACTGCTCGATTAAAAACTCCAGTGCTGGATCCCGAATCTGACTACTGTCTTACGTTCTATTTGCATCATGTGGGTGATATCCCTCCACCTGTTACTGTTCGTGCAGAGGTAAAATTTATACAAATTTCTTGTTATTTACTTCTTGTAAAGTATTTATCACTTATTCTTTAATTAATATACAAAATCATGAATGTTTCAGTATGCATTTAGCAATTAGCTGTATTTCTCTACCTGAAACTATTTTTTTTTTAAGTACAAAGCTACTATGCAAGAAGCAGAGAAATTGCCTTTTCATTGATGTACCTATGATTATATAGTAGATGGTAGATTATTTAATATTAATTACAATCACAATCTATCAATTTTCTTGTTCTGATAATGACCTGATGTTTGTCTAATGACTGGTCTGATGAGTAGATAGTTACCAGATTATCTATTTGTGATCATAAAAATAAGAGAAAAAATGTGTTTTGCATAAAATAAATATTTATATTTTATTAAAAACTGAATTGCTATATGTAAATGAATTCTTTGCCTGCTGAAATAAGTGAAAATAAATATATTTTTAAAGAGGTGATTGTGTTCTGTCCTCTGTTTTTCACTGAACTTAATGCAGCCTTCCATCTTCAGTTTGTATTCTCATTATTTTTGCATTATCTGCAAAATAAGAATATGCAGTTAATTGAAGTGATCAGTATATTAGATTAAAATTAAAATTATTAATTTCTAAAGAGCCATACAAATACTGTAGTTATGCATTGGTCCCTTGAGTTATGATATTAATCCATTCCAAAAGATGTATCATATCTCAGAAATATAACTCAAACTCCAAGATACATAGTTTTAAGGCAATTTGTTTCATGATACCAGAACATATCCAACCTTCACTTGGATTCTATTTGTTGTTTAAACACTGGGGTTTTCTGAGTGGTAAACAAGCATTGGCATTCAGGAGCAGAGTAAGCTTATCTTTTATAGGCTTATGCCTGTTAATAATCAAAACTGTAATTTTTCTCTACCAGACTTATTAAAGCTATATAGCATGAACTAATAGAATATTCAGTTCTCTTGTATTCATCATAATTCGCCTAATGACCATATGTATAAAATTACTGTACTGTTATTGTCTTATTAACCCTTTCAGGGTCCGTCCCGTAGATCTACGGCTTTATGTTCAGGGTCCAAACCGCAGATCTATGCCAAAATTCTAGCGGCGTCAAATTTAGTGCAAGAAGGCTGGTAAGCCTACATCTGAGAGAATGGGTCTGGGTGGTCAGTGTGTACACTATAGAAAAAATCTGGACGCCCGCATGGCATTGTGGGAACACCGGCAAAGTAGCTTTGTTCATCATACCTGGCGGCAAGGAAGCTCTCACTCCCCACTCACTCTCCGGGCGAATTCTGACTCTCCTCTTCACAACTTACAGTTCTAAGACTGATGGAAGTGGAGCTGAAGACGAATTCTATGGTTTTGAACCATATGGTACCATTGTGCCATATGGTACCCAATGGAACCATATGGTACAATGGTGCCATGTCATACAATGGTATCATATGGTACAATGGTATCATATGGTACAATGGTACCATATGGTACAATGTATGATATAGTACATTGTACCATATGGTACATTATACCATATGGTACAGGGTTATCCTAGGTTCTCCAAACATGCTCCCCTCAAAGAAGGTTCCTTGATGCTGGTGAGGGGCTCTTGATCTAGGGAATTGGATCTGTGCTCCAGTTCCCTGAATTAAGCCTGAATACCTTCCACATCCCCCCCACAGGCGCTACATAATCCTGCGGGTTTAGTGCTTCCCCTTGATTATAATAATAATAATAATAATCCAAACATATGCTGCTAAGTATGATATTCTATGTAGCTTTATTTGTGTATAACTAAATAAACTTACTTATGATGCCACATGGACTTGAGTAAGTTTATTCAGGTGTACAGATATTTCAATTACATAGATTATCATACATAGCAGCATATGTATAAAATCCTAGGATAACCCAAAAAAGTCAGGGTGACTTATTTCCATAGTTATCACTGTATCTGTACCATATGATGTCCTGTAATGTATGGTACCCTGTACCAAAATGGTACCCCGTGCCATAGTACCCTGTACCATATGGTACCCTGTACCATATGGTACCCTGTACCATATGGTACCCTGTGCCATAGTACCCTGTACCATATGGTACCCTGTACCGTATGGTACCCTGCACCATATGTTATCCTGTACTGCAAGGTACCCTATACCATATAGTACAATGTACCATATGGTACCCTGTAACATATGATACCGTGTACCATATGGTCAATAGGTGTTGGTGGCATGAGACACTAGCCAAGACTGAGTGAGTGGCGACGCAAGCTAGCTACTGACTCCGCAGCAGTTTCCGAGACAAAGCGCTTTGTCATCCACCTCAAGGAACACGTCAAGTTCCCGTACACTTGTAAATATGTAATAGAACATTACTAGTACAAATACAACATTTTTACATATTTTTGTTGAAAACAACTAATGTAAACAAAATAATAATGAAAATATTAGTGTGTTTATTGTGTTGAATACAACAGTACCATATGGTACAATGAACCATATGGTATTATTGTACTGTATGGTACAATGTACCATATGGTACCATTGCATCATATGGTACCATTACACCATATGGTACCATAAGGTACCATTGCACCATATGGTACCATTTTATCATATAGTACCATTGTACCAAATGGTGCCATTGTACCATATGGTGCCATTGTATCATTGTATCATTATATCATATGGCATATGATACAATGTACCATTGTATCATATGCCATTGTGCCATATGGTACCATTGTATCATAGGGTGCCATTGTACCATATGGTACAATCGCACCCTATGGCACCATTGTACCATATAGTACTATATGGTACCATTGTATTCAACACAATAACCACACTAATATTTTCATAATTTTGTTTACAATAAACTTGTAAACAAGTTTTGTAAGCAATATAATGATAAACAAATTAAGAGTGGATAGAGGAGCAATGTGGCAGATGTTGCAAGTATATGGAATAGGTGGTAAGTTACTAAATGCTGTAAAGAGTTTTTATGAAGATAGTGAGGCTCAGGTTAGGGTGTGTAGAAGAGAGGGAGAATACTTCCTGGTAAAAGTAGGTCTTAGACAGGGATGTGTAATGTCACCATGGTTGTTTAATATATTTATAGATGGGGTTGTAAAAGAAGTAAATGCTAGGGTGTTCGGGAGGGGTGGGATTAAATTATGGGGAATCAAATTCAAAATGGGAATTGACACAGTTACTTTTTGCTGATGATACTGTGCTTATGGGAGATTCTAAAGAAAAATTGCAAAGGTTAGTGGATGAGTTTGGGAATGTGTGTAAAGGTAGAAAGTTGAAAGTGAACATAGAAAAGAGTAAGGTGATGAGGGTATCAAATGATTTAGATAAAGAAAAATAGGATATCAAATTGGGGAGGAGGAGTATGGAAGAAGTGAATGTTTTCAGATACTTGGGAGTTGACGTGTCGGCGGATGGATTTATGAAGGATGAGGTTAATCATAGAATTGATGAAGGAAAAAAGGTGAGTGGTGCATTGAGGTATATGTGGAGTCAAAAAACGTTATCTATGGAGGCAAAGAAGGGAATGTATGAAAGTATAGTAGTACCATCACTCTTATATGGATGTGAAGCTTGGGTGGTAAATGCAGCAGCGAGGAGACGATTGGAGGCAGTGGAGATGTCCTGTCTAAGGGCAATGTGTGGTGTAAATATTAAGCAGAAAATTCGGAGTGTGGAAATTAGGAAAAGGTGTGGAGTTAATGAAAGTATTAGTCAGAGGGCAGAAGAGGGGTTGTTGTGGTGGTTTGATCATTTAGAGAGAATGGATCAAAGTAGAATGACATGGAAAGCATATAAATCTGTAGGGGAAGGAAGGCGGGGTAGGGGTCGTCCTCAAAAGGGTTGGAGAGAGGGGGTAAAGGAGGTTTTGTGGGCAAGGGGCTTGGACTTCCAGCAAGCGTGCGTGAGCGTGTTAGATAGGAGTGAATGGAGACGAATGGTACTTGGGACCTGACGATCTGTTGGAGTGTGAGCAGGGTAATATTTAGTGAAGGGATTCAGGGAAACCAGTTATTTTCATATAGTCGGACTTGAGTCCTGGAAATGGGAAGTACAATGCCTGCACTTTAAAGGAGGGGTTTGGGATATTGGCAGTTTGGAGGGATATGTTGTGTATCTTTATTTATTTATTTATTTTAAATACGTATATGCTTCTAAACTGTTGTATTCTGAGCACCTCTGCAAAAACAGTGATAATGTGTGAGTGTGGTGAAAGTGTTGAATGATGATGAAAGTATTTTCTTTTTGGGGATTTTCTTTCTTTTTTTTGGGTCACCCTGCCTTGGTGGGAAACGGCCGACTTGTTAAACAAAAAAAAAAAAATTGTGTTGAATACAATGAGTGTACACTTATACAATATACATTATACTGGTCTCACAGGCCACAAATGTTATTAGAAAAAGAAAAAAATTAGAAAAAAGAAAAAAGTATAAAAAACGTAAAATAAAAAAATGGGATTTTGCGGAAGTCACTGATGTTGCCGACACCCGGTCATTTTGGGCCAACTTCCCACCGCTGTATCTCGGTAAGTACTGATCAGAATTTTTTTTTGTCTTATTACCTTCACAAAAATATACTCTTTAATTCTATAAGAAATTTTTTTTTTTTTTTTTTTTCAAAATTTCTTGGACACTGGAGCACCACTTCAGATTTTGGCCTTGGACCCTGAAGGAGTCTTATGTTAGTCTTAAGTTTTCCTGAAATACTCTGCATATAAAGGGGCTTTTGGCATGTACACCAAATTGTTATACTCCTTTTTATAAACATGTATCATGCTGATATAAAATTATTATTATTATAAAGTGGCAGGGTAGGGACAGGGCAGAAGAGGCAGGACAGGCAGGCAGACAGGCAAGCAGACAAGCAGACAGACAGGCAGACAGACAGACAGACAGACACAGACACAGGCTGAAGAGGGGTTGTTGAGGTGGCTTGGTCATTTAGAGAGGATGGTCAAAATAGGATGACTTTTAGGAAAGGAGGGGTAGAGATTGTCCTAGGAAAGGATGAAGGGAAGAGTAAAAGAGGTTTTGTGTGCAAGAGGCTTGGACGTACAGCAGGCATGTGTGAGTATGTTTGATAGGAATGAGTGGAGTTGAATGATTTTCAGACTTGACAAGTAGTTGGAGTGTGAGCAGGGTAATATTTTGTGAAGGAATTCAGGGAAACCGGTTAGCTGGACTTCAGTCCTGGAGGTGGGAAGTACAATGCCTTCACTTTAAATGAGTGGTTTGGGATATTGACTGTTTGGAGTGACGCATGAACTGTCGTATCTGAGCGCCTCTGCAAAGACAGTGATTGTGTGTGAGTGATGATAAAAGTGTTTTTTTTCTTCTTTGGATCACCTTGCCTCAGTGGAAGATGGCCAGCATGTTGAAAAAAAAATTAATATATAAAAATTGCATGTCATGATTATAACTATCAGGTTTTCAGTATTCAGAATAACTCTTGGGAAATTATTTGTCTTTTTGTAATGAATAAGAAGTACTGCAAACAGCATAGCTACAAAAATTTCATATATTAATTGTCATTCAATTTCTAATACTATTATAGGAACTAGATGGACCATTGGTAGTGGAACTTTTGCATCAAGATTATCCTTTGGAAGACTTGTGGATGCTTGTTCAGGCAGACATTCAAGCTGAAACAATAGAGGCTGAATTTATAATCACCATTGAAGCTGTAATTATGGACAGTCAGGATGGAGATGCTTCACTTGATGACATCATGGAAAGTATTATCAAATATGGAAAGACGAAAGTATATTTGCTCTAAATCCCACCTTTTTATCATAAACTGCTGTTTTGTAATGTATTTTGTAAAATTAAAAGAAATATATAAGATATTTCATAAAAGGTTGATGGGTAGGCTCCAGGATGTACATGTTTATAGAGGGGCAACTGATATATCGGATCATGATTTAGTTGTAGCTACAGTTAGAGTAAGAGGTAGATGGGAAAAGAGGAAGGTGGCAACAACAAGTAAGAGGGAGGTGAAAGTGTATAAACTAAGGGAGGAGGAAGTTCGGGTGAGATATAAGCGACTGTTGCAGAAAGTGGCTAGTGCAAAGATGAGTAGTGGGGGGGGTTGAAGAGGTTGGAATAGTTTTAAAAATGCAGTATTAGAATGTGGGGCAGAAGTTTGTGGTTATAGAGGGTGGGGCAGGAGGAAAGAGGATGATTGGTGAATATGAAGTAAAGGGTGTGATAAAAGAGAAAAAGGTAGCTATGAGAGGTTTTTACAAAGCAGAAGTGTTACAAGAAGAGCAAGTATATGACAGTAAAAGAAAGGTAAAGAGAGTGGTGAGAGAGTGCAAAAGGAGAGCAGATGATAGATGGGAGAGGCACTGTCAAGAAATTTTAATGAAAATAAGAAAAAATTTTGGAGTGAGTTAAACAAGTTAAGAAAGCCTAGGGAAATATGGATTTGTCAGTTAAAAACAGAGTAGGGAGTTAGTAGATGGGGAGATGGAGGTATTGGTAATGGCGAGAATATTTTGAGGAACTTTTAAATGTTAAGGAAGAAACAGAGGCAGTAATTTCATGCACTGGTCAGGGAGGTATACCATCTTTTAGAAGTGAAGAAGAGCAGAATGTAAGTGTGGGGGAGGTACGTGAGGCATTATGTAAAATGAAAGGGGGTAAAGCAGCTGGAACTGATGGGATCATGACAGAAATGTTAAAAGCAGGGGGGATATAGTGTTGGAGTGGTTGGTACTTTTGTTTAATAAATGTATGAAAGAGAGGAAGGTACCTAGGGATTGGCGGAGAGCATGTATAGTCCCTTTATATAAAGGGAAAGGGACAAAAGAGACTGTAAAAATTATAGAGGAATAAGCTTACTGAGTAATACCAGGAAAAGTGTACGGTAGGGTTATAATTGAAAGAATTAGAGGTAAGACAGAATGTAGGATTGCGGATGAGCAAGGAGGTTTCAGAGTGGGTAGGGGATGTGTAGATCAGGTGTTTACATTGAAGCATATATGTGAACAGTATTTAGATAAAGATAGGGAAGTTTTTATTGCATTTATGGATTTAGAAAAGGCATATGATAGAGTGGATAGAGGAGCAATGTGGCAGATGTTGCAAGTATATGGAATAGGTGGTAAGTTATTAAATGCTGTGAAGAGTTTTATGAGGATAGTGAGGCTCAGGTTAGGGTGTGTAGAAGAGAGGGAGACTACTTCCCGGTAAAAGTAGGTCTTAGACGGGGATGTGTAATGTCACCATGGTTGTTTAAAATTATTTATAGATGGGGTTGTAAAGGAAGTAAATGCTAGGGTGTTCGGGAGAGGGGTGGGATTAAATTTTGGGGAATCAAATTCAAAATGGGAATTGACACAGTTACTTTTTGCTGATGATACTGTGCTTATGGGAGATTCTAAAGAAAAATTGCAAAGGTTAGTGGATGAGTTTGGGAATGTGTGTAAAGGTAGAAAGTTGAAAGTGAACATAGAAAAGAGTAAGGTGATGAGGGTGTCAAATGATTTAGATAAAGAAAAATTGGATATCAAATTGGGGAGGAGGTATGGAAGAAGTGAATGTTTTTAGATACTTGGGAGTTGACGTGTCGGGGGATGGATTTTATGAAGGATGAGGTTAATCATAGAATTGATGAGGGAAAAAAGGTGAGTGGTGCATTGAGGCATATGTGGAGTCAAAAAACGTTATCTATGGAGGCAAAGAAGGGAATGTATGAAAGTATAGTAGTACCAACACTCTTATATGGGTCTGAAGCTTGGGTGGTAAATGCAGCAGTGAGGAGACGGTTGGAGGCAGTGGAGATGTCCTGTTTAAGGGCAATGTGTGGTGTAAATATTATGCAGAAAATTCGGAGTGTGGAAATTAGGAGAAGGTGTGGAGTTAATAAAAGTATTAGTCAGAGGGCAGAAGAGGGGTTGTTGAGGTGGTTTGGTCATTTAGAGAGAATGGATCAAAGTAGAATGACATGGAAAGCATATAAATCTATAGGGAAGGAAGGCGGGGTAGGGGTCGTCCTCGAAAGGGTTGGAGAGAGGGGGTAAAGGAGGTTTTGTGGGCAAGGGGCTGGACTTCCAGCAAGCGTGCATGAGCGTGTTAGATAGGAGTGAATGGAGACGAATGGTACTTGGGGCCTGACAATCTGTTGGAGTGTGAGCAGGGTAATATTTAGTGAAGGGATTCAGGGAAACCGGTTATTTTCATATAGTCGGACTTGAGTCCTGGAAATGGGAAGTACAATGCCTGCACTTTAAAGGAGGGGTTTGGGATATTGGCAGTTTGGAGGGATATGTTGTGTATCTTTATATGGGGTATGCTTCTAGACTGTTGTATTCTGAGCACCTCTGCAAAAACAGTGATAATGTGCGAGTGTGGTGAAAGTGTTGAATGATGATGAAAGTATTTTTTTTGGGGGGGATTTTCTTTCTTTTTGGGTCACCCTGCCCCGGGGGGAGACGGCCGACTTGTTGAAAAAAAAAAAAAAAATCATAAACTAGTACTTTCATAAACTATGTATGTTTGTATTTATTTATTTATTTTTTTTTTTTTTCAACAAGTTGGCCGTCTCCCACTGAGGCAGGGTGACCAAAAAAGAAAGAAAATTCCCCAAAAGAAAATACTTTCATCATTCAACAGTTTCACCTCACTCATACATAATCACTGTCTTTGCAGAGGTGCTCAGATACGACAGTTTAGAAGCATATACGTATAAAGATACACAACATATCCCTCCAAACTGCCAATATCCAAAACCCCTCCTTTAAAGTGCAGGAATTGTACTTTCCATTTCCAGGATTCAAGTCTGGCTAAATCTATAATAACTGGTTTCCCTGAATCCCTTCACTAAATATTACCCTGCTCTCACTCCAACAGCTCGTCGAATCCCAAAAACCATTCATCTCCATTTACTCCTATCTAACATGCTCACACACACTTGCTGGAAGTCCAAGCCCCTTGCCCACAAAACCTCCGTAACCCCCTCCCTCCAACCTTTTCAAGGACGACCCCTACCCTTCCTTTCTTCCTTCCCCTACAGATTTATGCGCTCTCCAAGTCATTATACTTTGATCCATTCTCTCTAAATGACCAAACCACCTCAACAACCCCTCTTCAGCCCTCTGACTAATACTTTAAGTAACTCCTCCTCACCTCCTCGTAATTTCCACACTCCGAATTCTTTACACCACACATTGCTCTTAGACAGGACATCTCCACTGCCTCCAGCTGCCTCCTCACTGCAGCATTTACAACCCAAGCTTCACACCCATATAAGAGTGTTGGTTCCACTATACTTTCATACATTCTTTTCTTTGCATCCATAGATAACATTTTTTTGTCTCCACATATACCTCAATGCACCACTCACCTTTTTTCCTTCTACTGTTAACCTCATCCTTCATAAATCCATCTGCTGACAAGACAACTCCCAAATATCTGAAAACATTCACTTCTTCCATACTCCCTCTCTCCAATGTAATATCCAGTTTTTCTCTATCTAAATCATTTGATACCCTCATCACCTTACTCTTATCTTTGTTCACTTTTAACTTTCTACCTTTATACACCCTCCCAAACTCATCCACTAACCTTTGCAACTTTTCTTTAGAATCTCCAATAAGCACGGTATCATCAGCAAAAAGTAACTGTGTCAACTCTCATTTTGTAGTTGATTCCCCATAATTTTAATCCCACTCCTTTCCCCAACACCCTAGCATTTAGTACTTTTACAACCCCATCCATAAATATATTAAACAACTATGGTGACATTACACATCCCTGTTTAAGACCTACTTTTACCGGGAAGTAATCCTCTCTCTCTCCTACACACCCTAACCTGACCCTAACCTGAGCCTCACTATCCTCATAAAACTCTTTACAGCATTTAGTAACTTACTACCTATTCCATACACTTGCAACATCTGCCACATTGCTCCCCTATCCACTCTGTCATATGCCTTTTGTAAATCCATAAGTACAATGAAAACTTCCCTACTTTTATCTAAATACTGTTTACATATATGCTTCAGGTGGGGATATACTTTTGGAGTGGTTGGTGCTATTTTTTTTTTTTTCAACAAACCCGCCATATCCCACCAAGGCAGGGTGGCCCAAAAAGAAAAACGAAAGTTTCTCTTTTTAAATTTAGTAATTTATACAAGAGAAGGGGTTACTAGCCCCTTGCCCCTGGCATTTTAGTTGCCTCTGGTTGGTGCTATTTTTTTTTTTTTTCAACAAGTCGGCCGTCTCCCATTGAGGCAGGGTGACCCAAAAAAAAAGAAAGAAAATCTCCAAAAAGAAAATACTTTCTTCATCATTCAACTCTTTCACCACACTCACACATTATCACTGTTTTTGCAGAGGTGCTCAGAATACAACAGTTTAGAAGCATATACGTATAAAGATACACAACATATCCCATAAAGTACCTATGGATTGGCAGAGAGCATGCATAGTACCTTTGTATAAAGGCAAAGGGGATAAAAGAGAGTGCAAAAATTATAGGGGAATAAGTCTGTTGAGTATACCTGGTAAAATGTATGGTAGAGTTATTATTGGAAGAATTAAGAGTAAGATGGAGAGTAAGATAGCAAATGAACAAGTAGGCTTTAGGAAAGGTAGGGGGTGTGTAGACTAAGTGTTTACAGTGAAACATATAGGTGAGCAGTATTTAGATAAGCGTAAAGAGGTTTTTGTGGCATTTATGGATTTGGAAAAGGCGTATGACAGGGTGGATAGGAGGGCAATATGGCAGATATTGCAGGTGTATGGTATAGGAGGTAGGTTACTGAAAGCAGTAAAGAGTTTTTATGAGGATAGTGATGCTCAGGTTAGATTATGTAGGAGAGAGGGAGATTATTTCCCAGTAAAAGTAGGCCTTAGACAAGGATGTGTGATGTCACTGTGGCTGTTCAATATATTTATAGATGAGGTTGTAAGAGAAGTGAATGCTAGGGTCTTGGTAAGAGGTGTGGAGTTAAAAGATAAAGAATCAAACACAAAGTGGGAGTTTTTCACAGTTGCTCTTTCCTGATAACACTGTGCTTTTGGGAGATTCTGAAGAGAAGTTGCAGTGGTTGGTGGATGAATTTGGTAATGTAAGAGAAGAAAATTAAAAGTGAATATAGGAAAGAGTAAGGTTATGAAGATAAAAAGATTAGGTGACAAAAGATTGGATATCAGATTGGAGGGAGAGAATGTGGAGGAGGCAAATGTATTCAGATATTTGGGAGTGGATGTGTCAGCAGATGGGTCTATGAAGGATGAGGTGAATCATAGAATTGATGAGGGGAAAAGGGTGAGTGGTGCACTTAGGTGCACTTCGGAGACTATGGAGACAAAGAACTTTGTCTGTGGAACCAAAGAGGAGAATGTATGAGAGTATAGTTGTACTAACACTCTTGTATGGGTGTGAAGCATGGGTGATGAATGTTGCAATGAGGAGAAGGCTGGAGGCAGTGGAGATGTCGTGTCTGAGGGCAATGTGTGGTGTGATTATAATGCAGAAAATTCGTAGTTTGGAAATTAGAAGAATGTGGGATTACCAAAACTATTATCCAGGGAGCTGAGGAGGGGTTGTTGAGGTGGTTCGGACATGCAGACAGAATGGAATAAAACAGAATGACTTCGAGAATGTATAAATCTGTAGTGGAGGGAAGGCCTAGAAAGAGTTGGAGGGAGGGAGTAAAGGAGGTTTTGTGTGCGAGGGGCTTGGACTTCCAGGAAGCGTGCCTGAGCGTATTTGATGGGAGTGAATGGAGACAAATGGTTTTTAACACTTGAAGTTCTGTTGGAGTGTGTGCAAAGTAACATTTATGAAATGATTCAGGGAAACCGGCAGGCCGGACTTGAGTCCTGGAGATGGGAAGTACAGTGTCTACACTCTGAAGGAGAGGTGTTAATGTTGTAGTTTCATAACTGCAATGTAAAGTACCCCTCTGGCAAGACAGTGATGGGGTGAATGATGTTGAAAGTTTTTCTTTTTTGGGCCACTCTGCCTTGGTGGGAATCAGCCGATTGTGTTAATAAAAATAATAAAAAATAATATATGCTTCAATGTAAACACTTGAACTACACACCCCCTACCCACTCTAAAGCCACCCTGCTCATCTGCAATCCTACTCTTTGTCTTACCTCTAATTCTTTCAATAAAATCCCTACTGGTATACTGGCATACTCAGTAAACTTATTCCCCTATATTTTTTACAATCTCTCTTGTCCTCCTTCCCTTTATATAAAGGAACTATACATGCTCTCTACCAATCCCTAGGTACCTTCCCCTCTTTCATACATTTATTAAACAAAAATACCAATCACTCTAATACAATATCCCCCCCGTTTTTAACATTTCTGTCATGATCCCGTCAGTTCCAGCTGCTTTACCCCCTTTCATTCTATGTAATGCCTCACGTACCTCCCCCACACTCAAATCCTGCTCTTCTTCACTCATAAAAGATGTTATACCTTACTGACCAGTACCTGAAATTACCACCTCCCTTTCTTCATAGACATTTAAAAGTTCCTCAAAATATTCTCGCCATCTACCCAATACCTCCATCTCCCCATCTACTAACTCCCCTACTCTGTTTTTAGCTGACAAATCCATTCGTTCCCTAGGCTTTCTTAACTTGTTCATCTCGCTCCAAAATTTTTTCTTATTTTCATTAAAATTTCTTGGCAGTGCCTCTCCCACTCTTTCCTCTGCTCTCCTTTTGCACTCTCCCACCACCCTCTTAACCTTTCTTTTACTCTCCATATCTCTGCTCTTCTTACAACACTTTTGCTTTGTAAAAATCTCTCATAAGCTACATTTTTCTCTTTTATCACACCCTTTACTCATCATTCCACTAATCACTTCTCTTTCCTTCTGCACCCATCCTCCTATAGCCACAAACTTCTGCCCCACATTCTAATACTGCATTTTTAAAACTATCCCAACCTTCTTCAACCCCCCCACTACTCATACTTTCATTAGCCCACCTTTCTGCCAGTAGTTGCTTGTATCTCACTCTAACTTCCTCCTCCCTTAGTTTATCCACTTTCACCTCTTGTCTTACTTGCTGTTGCCATTTTTCTTTTGTCCCATCTATCTCTTACTCTAGCTGTAGCTACAACGAAATAATGATCCGATATATCGGTTGCCCCTCTATTACATGTACATCCTGAAGCCTACCCATCAACCTTTTATCCACCAATACATAATCAAAGAAACTACTTTCATTACATGCTTTATCATACCTTGTATACTTATTTATCCTCTTTTTCATAAAATATATATTATTACTAAACCTCTTTCTACACATAGCTCAATTAAAGGCTCCCCATTTTCATTTACCCCTGGCACCCAAAATTTACCCAATACTCCCTCCACAACATTTTTACCCACTTTAGCATTGAGATCCCCAACCACGATTACTCTCTCACTTGGTTCAAAACTCCCCTTGCACTCACTCAACATTTCCCAGTCTCTCCTCTCTTCACTTCTCTTTTCTCAAGGTGCATAAACACTTATTATAACCAACTTTTCACATCCAGCCCTTATTTTACCCCACATAATCTTTGAATTTATTCATTTGTATTCCCATTTTTCTTTTTAGTAAGCTATACAGGAAAAGGGGTTATTAGCCTATTGTTCCTGTCATATTAGTGGACTTTTACATCACGCATTGTTTACAGAGGAAAGATTCTTATTACACTTCCCCATGGATATAAAAGGAAAAAGAGTAAGAACAAGAACTATTGAGATAAAATCAAAGAAAACTCAGATGAGTGTGTCTACATAAACGTGTACATGTATGTGTAGTGTGACCTAAGTGTAAGTAGAAGTAGCAAGACGTACCTGAAATCTTGCATGTTTATGAAACATAAAAAAGACACCAGCAATCCTACCATCATGTAAAACAAATACAGGCTTCCTTTTTACACTCACTCGGTAGGCTGGTAGTACCTCTCTGAATGGTTGCTTCAAGATTAAAAAGTAACATTGCATACTTGTCCCATATTAGCTTGTTAAATTGCATCTTTCTGTAGTTTAAAGTATGTGTTAAAAGTATTTCTAAATTAAACAGGTTACTTCATCAAGATGCCCAAGGGAAGATGATCTATACTGTACCTTTGCTCTTGGATTGTGTGGTTTCAAACAAGAAGAAGTGCAAGATAATATTGACTGGATTTGGCATGATGCAAGAGGTAATGACGATTCTTACCTGCCTCAGGAATCCAAAGCACATGATTATTACATCTACCTCAATACTTCGGCTCCAAAGGTTAGTTCTCAGAGTTTGTAGATAATATTATACATGTATTAGAAGTGAATGGCAACAAATGGATATACTGCTGGAGTGTGTGCAAGGTAACATATACAAACAGCTTCCTGGAAACTGGTTAGCTGGACACAAGTGTTATAGGTAGAAAGGGCATGACCAGCACTCTTGATGAAGGGCGGGGTATGTTGTAGTCAGAGCGTAATCTGAATTGTGATGTCAAACACTTTGGCAAGACAGTTCTTGAATGAATAATGGTGAATGTGTTTCCTTCTTTGGGTTACCCTCCTTTGGCTGGAGGGTAAAAAACAACAAAATTAATTATTTTTTTTTTTAACAAGTCTGCCGTCTCCCACCGAGGCAGGGTGACCCAAAAAGAAAGAAAATCCCCAAAAAGAAAATACTTTCATCATCATTCAACACTTTCACCTCACTCACACATAATCACTGTTTTTGCAGAGGTGCTCAGAACACAACAGCTTAGAAGTATATACATTTAAAGATACACAACATATCCCTCCAAACTGCTAATATCCCGAACCCCTCCTTTAGAGTGCAGGCATTGTACTTCCCATTTCCAGGACTCAAGTCCAGCTATACAAAAATAACTGGTTTCCCTGAATCCCTTCACTAAATATTACCCTGCTCACACTCCAACAGATTGTCAGGTCCCAAATACCATTCGTCTCCATTCACTCCTATCTAACACGCTCATGCATGCCTGCTGGAAGTCCAATCCCCTCGCCCACAAAACCTCCCTTACCCCTTCCTTCCAACCTTTTCGAGGACGACCCCTACCCCGCCTTCCTTCTACAGATTTATACGCTTTCCATGTCATTCTACTTTGAGCCATTTTCACCTCAACAACCCCTCTTCAGCTCTCTGATAATACTTTTATTAACTCCACACCTTCTCCTAATTTCCACACTCCAAATTTTCTGCATAATATTTACACCACACATTGCCCTTAGACAGGACATCTCCACTGCCTTCAACCGCCTCCTCGCTGCTGCATTCACAACCCAAGCTTCACACCCATATAAAAGTGTTGGTACCACTATACTTTCATACATTCCCTTCTTTGCTTCCATAGATAACGTTTTTTTGTCTCCACATATACCTCAACGCACCACTCACCTTTTTTTCCTCATCAATTCTATGATTAACCTCATCCTTCATAAATCCATCCGCCGACACGTCAACTCTCAAGTATCTGAAAACATTCACTTCTTCCATACTCCTCCTCCCCAATTTAATATCCAATTTTTCTTTATCTAAATCATTTGATACCCTCATCACCTTACTCTTTTCTATGTTCACTTTCAACTTTCTACCTTTACACACCCTCCCAAACTCATCCACTAACCTTTGCAATTTTTCTTTAGAATCTCCCATTAGCACAGTATCATCAGCAAAAAGCAACTGTGTCAATTCCCATTTTGTATTAATTCCCCGTAATTTAATCCTGCCCCTCTCCTGAACACCCTAGCATTTACTTCTTTTACAACCCCATCTATAAATATATTAAACAACCATGGTGACATTACACATCCCTGTCTAAGACATACTCTTACCAGGAAGTAGTCTCCCTCTCTTCTACACACCCTAACCTGAGCCTTACTTTTTTTTTTTTTTTTTTTTTTTTCAACAAGTCGGCCATCTCCCACCGAGGCAGGGTGACCCAAAAAAAAGAAAGAAAATCCCCAAAAAGAAAATACTTTCATCATCATTCAACACTTTCACCACACTCGCACATTATCACTGTTTTTGCAGAGGTGCTCAGAATACAACAGTCTAGAAGCATGCACATATAAAGATACACAACATATCCCTCCAAACTGCCAATATCCCAAACCCTCCTTTAAAGTGCAGGCATTGTACTTCCCATTTCCAGGACTCAAGTCCGACTATATGAAAATAACCGGTTTCCCTGAATCCCTTCACTAAATATTACCCTGCTCACACTCAACAGATCGTCAGGTCCCAAGTACCATTCGTCTCCATTCACACCTATCTAACACGCTCACGCACGCTTGCTGGAAGTCCAAGCCCCTTGCCCACAAAACCTCCTTTACCCCCTCTCTCCAACCCTTTTCGAGGACGACCCCTACCCCGCCTTCCTTCCCCTATAGATTTATATGCTTTCCATGTCATTCTACTTTGATCCATTCTCTCTAAATGACCAAACCACCTCAACAACCCCTCTTCTGCCCTCTGACTAATACTTTTATTAACTCCACACCTTCTCCTTACTATCCTCATAAAAACTCTTTACAGCATTTAGTAACTTACTACCTATTCCATATACTTGCAACATCTGCCACATTGCTCCCCTATCCACTCTATCATATGCCTTTTCTAAATCCATTAATGCAATAAAAACTTCCCTACCTTTATCTAAATACTGTTCACATATATGCTTCACTGTAAACACTTGATCTACACATCCCTTACCCATTCTGAAACCTCCTTGCTCATCTGCAATCCTACATTCTGTCTTACCTCTAATTCTTTCAATTATAACCCTACCATACACTTTTCCTGGTATACTCAGTAAACTTATCCCTCTGTAATTTTTACAATCTCTTTTGTCCCCCTTCCCTTTATATAAAGGGAATATACATGCTCTGTGCCAATCCCTAGGTACCTTCCCCTCTTTCATACATTTATTAAACAAAAGTACCAACCACTCCAACAGTATATCCCCCCCTGCTTTTAACATTTCTGTCATGATCCCGTCAGTTCCAGCTGCTTTACCCCCTTTCATTCTTCGTAATGCCTCACGCACCTCCCCCACACTCTCATCCTGTTCTTCTTCACTTTTCACTTTTTCAAAAACTTACATTTATGCACCCATTGCAAGGCTACAAATCTTAAATATCATTAATAAATAATGAGGAAAATTGTTTGCCACATAATTAAATAAAAGGTGGACATTATTTATATATGAGATTGTAAGCATTATCATTATTATACATTAATGTAATGTCAACATTGAATAATAGGCTGTTTGTATAATTAAGCTTAATTGTAGAGTATAACTGAAATATATTTAAATGGACTTGCTGTTGAGTATGAGTAGGGTAACTTTTATGAAGGGATTCAGGGGAAACCGGTTAGCCAGATTTGAGTCCTGGAGGCAGGAAGGGCAGTGCCTATACTTGGAGGGAAGGGTGGTGATGTTGCAGTTAGTTGGTAATCTAATTGTGATGTCATCACACTTCTATTCTAGAAAGATGATAATTTTGTATGAATATGTATTCTACCTTGGGTCACCTTTCCTTGGAGGGAGATGGTAGTTAAGTTAAAATAAACTAAAAGGATGGAGGGAGTGGGTAAAAGAGGTTTTTGTGTTCAATGGGCCTGGACATGCAGCAGGGTAATATTTTGTGAAGGGATTCAGGGAAACCAGTTGGCCAGACTTGAGTCCTGGAGGTGAGAAGTGCAGTGCCTGCACTTTAACCCCTAAACATATATATGTATATACCTTCATACATTTTTCCTGCCTCCAAATTTGACACGATTGGCCTGAGATGCCTGGTCATTATAGAATGGATCTTAACACTCGGTGTGCACCATATTAAAAAAATCTGGGACCACTTAGTACCTTGTGGGAGTGCCAGTTAAATTGAGCTGCAAACACCAAGGGTTCACTGATGTCATGTCTTATTAAGAGGGACATTAAAAAGGGGATAAGAAAAGCTAAACGGGACTATGAAATTAAAGTTGCTAGGGATTCGAAAACTAACCCGAAAAGTTTTTTCCAGGTGTATAGAACAAAAGTTAGAGATAAGATAGGTCCCCTTAAAAATAACTATGGGCATCTTACTGACAAAGAAAATGAAACGTGCTCGATTTTAAATAATTATTTTCTCTCGGTTTTTACACAGGAAGACACTAACAGTATCCAAGTAATTAATTTTTATAATGGGCCTGAAGAAGATAAATTATGTAACATCACAGTCACTTGTGAAATGGTTAGTAAACAAATAGACCGACTGAAGCAAAATAAGTTGCTGGGACCTGATGAGATTTTTTCAAGGGTTCTTAAGGAATGCAGAATGAAACTATGTGAACCATTAACTAATATTTTTAATTTATCTCTTCAAACAAGTGTAGTGTCTGATATATGGAAGATGGCTCAGGTAATTCCTATTTTTAAAGCAGGGGACAAATTGTTACCAATAAGCCTGACCTCAATTGTAGGCAAATTACTAGTCATTTATAGCTGATATTATAAGAAGCCATCTCGATAAGCATAGCTTGATTAACCCTTTGAGGGTCGACAGGCCCTCTCAGAAACTCGTTCTCAGGGTCGGCCAAATTTAAAAAAAAAAAAATTATTTTTTCTTATGGAAAGATAGAGAATCTTTTCCCGATCATAATGACACCAAAATTATGAGATTTGATGGAAAACTTACGGAATTATGCTCTCGCGAAGTTAGCGGTCTCAGCGATGTTTATGCATCGGCGATTTTGCCCAATTTGAGCCCCATTTTCAGCCAATTCCTCTGTACTAGTCGACAAACAACATGAATATTTCGCTAGAACTACATTTTTTCTATTGAATGAGTGCAAGAAACCACCCATTTATCATTTTCAACTATCCAATACAGTGGTCAGAATTTAGCAATTTTGCCAATTTCACACAAATTTAAAAAAATGCCAATTTCCGAATAGTGTTCAGAACAAACAAGAAAGACATTCCTGGCACTAAAATGACATTTCTTCTGCTCATTAGTCACGTCTCAAGGCCCCTCTTACATTCTTTTGCTTTCCACTTTGAATTTTTATTCTCACGAAAAATAGAAGATTTACTGTTATGGAGACTACTGCATTAGTGTAAAAAATGATATAAATCATATTGGCGCAATCCCAAAAGAATGTTAGACTCACCAGTTGACGTGTATTGGACGCTTGGTATGATTTGTTTACTTTTGAACTTTGGTAAAAATCGAACATTTCTGCTACTTTGAGCTTAATTTCAAGGTACTTTTCATTGT